GAGTGATGACAAAAAGAAAAATAGAGAGGGGGGGGGTGTAGAGAGAGGGGGGGTGAGTGGTTTCATTGGCCAATCCAGTGTGTGAGTTACATCTTTCGAGTCTGCAGTGGAGAGAGCCTCTCCTTATGGTCCTTTTTTTTGCATCTGTCCCGCGTTGTGTGTGTGTGTGTATGCGGGTAGCTGCTGGCTTTCAGCATCCATGGCCAGCCGCACTCCTCCAGAGAGAGAGAGCGAGAGAGAGAGAGAGCGAGCTCCGGATACTTTACCAGACCGAGCTGAATTTGCAGACCAGTGTGTTCCAGTGCTGCATCTGAAGCAGTGGGGCCAACACATGTAACAATGCAGGGATGAAGTCATTAAACTTCAGGGGGCCTGGAGAGGCAGCTTTGTTTTAGGGCCCCCAAAACAAGCTGCACAGTTCAGCACCACGGATAGCGCCGAGGCAGAAGTACTCCAGGTGCAGGGGCTCCCAAACTTTTTATGTCGGGAGTAAAAAGATTTCTATCATCCAGGATACCCCACATTGATTACAGCTTGTCCCATTTGACAAGACAGAGTTAAATATGGAGTTAAAACTAGCCAACCGTCTTAGGCTTTAACTACTTTAATGCATGGTGTAATGTAGTTTCAGATGAGCTGCATTTAGCCTCACCCGGGAAATCAAACACTACTTTTGAATGTGACTCACTTGTGCCACACATCCACTGTACAACAGAGAGTCTCAATAACACACACACACACACACACACACACACACACACATGCATTTGCGCTCATACACAACCACCACTCAACAGTCTTTGGCAAAATGCCTAATATGCCTGCCTCATCCTCTATTCATGTCTCTGCAAATCCACTGCAATGCTGCTGTTGTTCACTCCTAACACAACTACACCTCCAAAGTCATTAAAAAAACCATCCTACAGTATTTCCAGAGCAAGACAAAATGCTGTTTTACCGGGAGACAAATGCAACACCTTCTCCCGCCTCCTCCTGTCACATGCAGTTTGTAGACTCTCCAGTAGCTTCAGCTTGGAGCAGCTCTCATATTCAGGGCAGACAATTAGAAACTCCATTAAGCACAGTTGATTCCTCTGAGGAAGTTGGACCAAAAGCAGCGCGCACACTGGGATCTGTAGGCAGCTATAAAGCACCATCAGTCCTTACCCGGCATATCTGCTCACTGTTAGATGAACCGCATGACCTCATTCAAAACTTTACGAGTCAGCTCACAGCTGGATGCAAATTTAAAGCTTGTTTGACATGAAGCTGTGTCGGGTGATGCTTCGTTTGAAGTCTGTTCGTTTTTCAACTTGCCAATTCATTAACAAGTTCAAACTTTTTTTCTATTTGATTCTCTGTTTTTGACTTGTTGGGGTTCTTTTGCAAGAACTCCTAAAGAGGAGTTCCACTGTGTCTCTGCTGCACATCCAAAGCTCTAACGCGTTATTTCAAAATAGAGCTACAATATGATGACAGCATGCTTTGTGGATTTTTAAACAGTGCTCGTGGATGAATGGACTTGTCTGTCTATTATACATCAGTATCAGTGTCATCAGACACACTGAGCTTAACCTCGGCTGGTAACCCGATTGCATCACTCACTAAAAAAAAAATCAAAGTAAAGCAGGAAGAGCAGAAAATGTTCCGCTCACCAGGCACTGTGCCAAAATCCCCTCCTAGGGATTTTAGGCGGAAGATGTTTCTGAGCAGGCTTAAGTGTTTGCACCTGCGCTTTCCTTTGTAGTGTCAAGTTCTGCACCTGGCTTCTCTTGTGTTACAAGTTAAATACAGTAGTCGGGATTGCAGGAGACTTGTGTGGTGGGTGGGATGGAAACAAAACCTTCTCCTCACGAGTGATACTTATTTATTGTCTGTTTGTCAGTTTCAATGTGACTGTTCAGATCAATATCAGGTTACATTAAGATAACTTTGGGAGCAAGCAATGATTTGTGTTAATGACTAATTGAATTTGTTCTAATAGTCTTAATTAGCGGTTGGTTGTCATCTCTCTGCTTGTGCTCATCTGGTTTTGTGGCTTGCTCACGAGTAGGAACAGCAGTGAGATTAGACTGAAATAGTTTTAATGTAGTATGTATATATTTTTTAATTTATATATTCATTTATCTATTTATCTAGGATTTAACTGCACTCATTTTGGTTGTAAATAAGAATCACTTCGTTTTGCATTTCCAGTATATACCTCTCACACTCACTATGATCAAGCAGCAAGCTGTGGTTTGTGTCGGTGGTGTAAGTGTGCTAGTGAGCCACAGCATCACACTTGTTCTCTCACAGCTCTCCTCTTTGCCTCCTGGAGACTTGGCAAGACAGTTTAGCAGACATTAGGAGACGAAAACTCACAGCTATTGTGAGTCAACAGATCTGTGAGGTGTCTCAAGGACATGCTGGAGTGAAGATCTTGAAGAGAATGGAACCTACCCGCGGGGGTCTCTCTCTCTCTCTCTCTCTCTCTCTCTCTCTCTCTCTCTCTCTGGACACATGTGGTTCATCATTGTTCCACAAGGGGGCAGCAGTTACAAAGAAATGACTCTGAACAACATGTTACTCCAGTAGTGGCACCTGAAGGAGGGCCACGGGGGATGCTGGGGCTTTTTTTGCGTTTCAGTTTGTAGACATATTTAGCTCCTATGCTGCAGAGTACAGTGTATGCAACATGGTTCATAATGATGAAAATCCAAGAACTAGCACCGGCTGATGAAGTGAAAACACACCGGCTGCACACGCAACATGTTTAACACAACATGTCTGCAGCATTTTCACTCATGTTCAGAATGTGGTTTCAATAAATGCTGATGACTTACTCTGTCGGTAGCACACCGAGATATTGACATCACGCTGTTTGAATAACTTAACTAGCAAACCTTTATGGAGTCAAATCATTTTAATTGACAATTCAAATGATTGCAATGGCCCTGCAGGGCATTTCATAGCGACAGTGTTTTATTGCCCGAGGGTATTTCCCAGCTGGAATGAAGTGGACATGAATTGTCTCTGGTAGAGGGAGGAAGCCTAGCAGATCCTCATTAGGGAATACTTTATCTTTTCCTGACTAAGATATATGTCCCATGGCTCTAGAGCTGCACATCCACAAAGTCCCTCCTATTTGTGAGAAAGCTCTCTCACTCAATATACAACAAACCACCCGCTGTTTTTTTCTTCTTCTAAGAACTGTATATCACGCTGCTGCATATCCGTTGGAAAGATGAATGATATATTGATGTTGTTATTGATATTTCTTTATGCTGCAGTGGCATATTCATTTTTACTACGCACTGGCAATAAGAATACAGAATGCAGGTTTTGATTTCGACTCAAACTTTCTTTCTGTCTCTGAGAAAAGAGTGTAGTCTCTCTCTCTCTGACACACACACACACACACACACACGCGGGACCACACAAAGGTACCAGTGCTTCACATTTAACACTTCCATCCATTATATCCAAATCTTACGCAAGACAGTGGTAGTCCAAAGGAAATTGTCTCTCTGAGGGCTCGGTTTGGGGAGAAAATGTCAAACCCAGTCCTAGAAAAAAGCCTCTAAATGTTTCATGCAGTTTCATCAAGGGGAGGAGAGAGGTTTGCTCTGCTGCTGAACACTCACGTGTTCTTCCTCCCACTGTGTGTGTGTGTGTGTGTGTGTGTGTGTGTGTGTGTGTGTGTGTATGTGTGAGTGTGTGCTCCCCATCTCATACAATAATAGACATAAAACCAGCATGCTCACATGCACACATATTTGCAGGACATCTTCGGGGACTTTGCATTGATTTACATCTCATCCTTAACCATAATTTATAGTCATTCGCTGAATTCCAATGCAGAACAATTTAACAAATGCAGTGAAAACAATCGATTGGTTTGCATTAGTTGCCAGCAACTGATCTATGACAGAAACACAAGCAGAATACAGTATGCTCTCACACGTGCACACGTGCACATGTATGCAGTCCCTCCCTCCTGGCTCAGAGAGTGTTAAAGGCTTTGATGGTTTATGATCAGGACTATTGTGCCGTTGTTTAAAATGTTATTTGTAATGTGTTGGGGTCGCCCATGTCGTTTCCATAAACCATAAATCATAAATCATGTGTTGTGTCGCGGTCTTCAACGTACCATTTCTGTTGGGGGTTCATTGTGCTGAGACCTGTTGAAGCTAATCCTTTTATCCACGTTTAATATGTTCGGCATGTGTGGCCACAGAGTTTTAGAAAATAAAACGCGCGCATATGTCCCCTAAGTATATAAACGTCACGTGACCTCCTCGTTGCCCCATTAAAAAAAACAACAACTTCGGATTTAAATTGTAATTCAAAGTAACAATTTGGAGACCACCCACCCCCCTATTCAGATGTCCACATTATCCCAAACGACTAAAAACCCCGCGCTCGCGCGCACCCACTTACCCCTGCATAAACACCCATCCAGCATTTCGCCTTCCCTTTTTTCCCCTATACATTTTATGTTCACGTCTTTTCTTCCTGGAGATCATCGATCTTTCCCCTTACGACCCTCCGAGAATTCCTAATAGGAACCTCAATCACGTATGGTTGCGTTAAAAGAGTTGGAGAGGGAGAGAGGGGGTGCATGAGAGAGAGTATGGGAGAGGGCGGGAGGGAGGGAGAGAGAGAGAGAGAGAGAGAGAGAGTGAAGCGGACCGTGACCGTCCACTCTCGCTGTCGGCGATGTAACACACCGACAGCAATCGGGACGGGCTGGAAATCCTCTTTGTCTGGCTTCTTTATTATTTGTGCGCTACAACAAAAAAATCCCTCCGATGTGTGTTCGCGTCAACTAATTGTTGCTCTGCAGACGACAATCCCGCCATGCAAGCTTAAATTACATCTCTGCAGCATCCGTGCAGCGCAGCCTCTGCTGCTGATTCTACCCCCCGGCTGCATTTCCGAAGTGCCGTCGACGGAACCGGGGGATTGGGCTCACACATCTGGGTTCACCGCCCCCCCCCCCCCCCCCCCGCCCGGCAGCGAACGGTCTCGTTCATCGAGGGGCGTGGAGTAATGAATTAAGGGGAGAAAAAAAAAAAAAAAGTTCGGATCATTTCTCCTCCAGTCGCGCACGAGCGTCTGGTGCATGGATTTAGGTTAATGCGATTTCTTTAAAAGGAAGCCTGTGGAGAGGCGCTTGTGCAGATGAGGATTACGGAGTCAGACGCGGCGCTCTTCACCTGGAATACCTGAAGCTCTCCAATGACGCGCAGCTGCATCAATTTAACAACTCTGTTGCATGTCGTTCACGGCTGACATGTCGGCCCCTGTGGTCTAGCCCGTCGATCGATGTTTTATATTCGACCGGTCGTCGTTGATTCGAAGCCCTGAGTGAATAAGACGCCGTACTGTCCCCCCTCATGAGGTCGCGTTGATGCCCGGGGACTCGGAGGATTTTCTGATCAGGATGACATTTGGTTGAAACGCTCGTGGACGCCAAACACAGCATCAACTCTCTCGGTTTTTTTTTTTTTTTTTTTGCGCCAAGAAGCTGCACCAAACATCCGACCGCTGCCGAACTATAGACTCTCGGTTTTCAGACTCGGTTCGGGGAGATGGCCGCGATCGCCAGCTCCCTGATCCGGCAGAAACGCCAGGCCAGGGAGTCGAACAGTGACCGGGTCTCTACTTCGAAACGTCGCCCTAGTCCCAGCAAAGACCCCCGCACTCTCTGCGAGAAGCATTTCTTGGGGGTCTTCAGCAAAGTCCGTTTCTGCAGCGGCAAGAAAAGACCCGTTCGGCGGCGACCAGGTCAGTGCTTTAGATTTTTTTTTTTTTTTTTTTTTTTACTGATGTGTTATGTGGGCTCGTGAAAGCAGTTTTCCCCAGCCCCCCCACCCCATCCCGCCCCCCTCCCTTTTGGACAATTATGCTGCAGTCAAGGGCTCCAATCTCAACCGGAGGAGAAAGTAGATTTTCTCCGCGGTGCAAAAAAAATCCACCTGTTCCATTAAGGTCTTCTTGTTGTCTGTCGACCCACCGCGCACGACCCTCCCCTGTAAACCGAGCAGCGTGAATGTATAGGAAATGATCTGCATGCTGTGACGTGAGCCCCTTTATTTATTGGGATACTGCTCAGAATAATCGCTTACCCTGGACAAAAAACGAACTAATGCTACTGTATCTTTGTCACAGTCTAAGCAGGTTCTCTTTCAACAGTTATCTAATATGTTAAAGCCTTCGATTTTGCACACTTAATTGTTTGCACCCCCTCCCCTTCAAAACACACATGTATCTTAAATACACTTATAAATGCTGCTTTAAATTGCCTAATTCAATATTACTGCAGATGTGGTACAGAGGGGAGGTAAATTGCACCGCAGTGCACCAAGGCTCTTTTGAGATTAAATGTTGTAATGGTAAAGGTTTATTGCCTAGAGGGAGCTTTACTGCAGTGAAGGGAGGTATATCTTTAGTGATTAAGAGCTACTCTGGCTGTATTGATAGACATAGGCTCCGTGCCTACTACACTCCATAGTATAGCCTCCCCCCCCCCCCTTTTTTTTTATTCCCCTGGCTCTGTCCTGCTGCACAGACCACGAGCCAGCCCTCCCCGAACCCAGATAGTTCTGTCTTCGATGAACGACTGAATGAGGTAGGAGGACAGACAGAGAGACAGAGTTTCCTTATAAGGCAGAAAGGGAGACAGACACCCAGCCAGCCAGTCAGACTCAATTAAAACCCTGTCGCCGCGCAGCTTTATCGGACAGACAAAACAATCACAGTGCCAAAACTGCCACAAAATGCCAGAATAGAAAACATAAGCAGACAGACAGACAACAAGCCAGTCAGGCCTCCAGACACTGTTGGGCAGGTAGGTGACTCCTTTCACATACATGGCCGAACAGAAAGCAGATGCTGTGTTTCCTCTAATTGATCATCCTTATCTTTCCAATGATGCCTTGCCATATATTTGCATATAAACAGCCGATACGCTGGAGAATTTATGAATTCTGCCTGTTTAAAAGACTGTTGTTTTTCCTTCTATCCCCCCCCCCCCCCCCACCACCCCCCTCCCCCCCCACTTCGTAAGATGCACCCTCGAAACCTCCACAGGTGTCCCATAAGGGCTGCAGGCTAGGTCAGTAGCTCAGCCTCCATCCGTGTGTGCTGTGTTTCCTCTCGTCTCCACCCCATCTCGCGCCCATGTCGACTCCCCCTCGGCCAGGGAGGGGGGGGGTAGGTGGGGAAGGGGTGGGTTGGGGAGGGACAGAGAGTGAGGGTGGGGCGGGGGGGGGGGGACCCTCTCCCTTGCTGATCTCTTCTTTTTTTTTCTTTCATCCCTCCTTCTGTGTGGCTTTGTTGGATTTTTTCAAGCTTAATTTCGTACTTTGCTTTCCTTTCTCGTAGCTAAAGCTCTCCTATAGCCAGTCGTTTGTCGCTCCTCTGTCTCTTCTCTATCTTTGTCTTTGGCTCTGCCTCTCCTCATTTTGTCTCTGCCTCATTCTCTCCGTCAGTCAATGTCGGATCAGTCTATCTATCCTCGCTACTTGTTCTGTGTCTGTAAATATGTGTCAAGTGCTGCTGTGTGTAAGTGTAGTAGAGGTTGATATTGTATTTTGGTGTACATGGATATGTTGTGTTTCTCCCTGTCAAACACTATATCGGAACAGGTGATGATCATTCTGCATTTCATGGTCATGATGCCATTTGTCGACGTACATAAATGTTTTTGTCCTTCTGTATTGGTATGAAGTAAATCTATTGACGTTTTGATGGCCCATACACACAGAATGATTTGCTGTATGTTGCCACTGAAATACTTTTTTTTGTAGTACAAACATATGTTGTAAATTCTGAAGTTTGACATGAAGTCAGTTTAAACCTGCACACACCACACAGCACACAGAGCACACACTTTCTGCTAAATGATTGGAACTGATGAGCCGTCAGCGATTGCTCGGGCCCACGTTGAGGTCTTAATTTATGGAAGTGTAGTTAACATATGTGATTTACTGATGTGTACACTCCCATGTACTTGCGCACACACACACACACACACACACTCTCCTCACCCTGCCTGTGATGGATGATGAAGGGCCCGTCCCAGGAATTGATGGCCCCATCCCAGGGGTAGGTGAGTCGGGGACTGATGGTCAGGATGATGTACAGTTGAGGTGAACCCAGTCTAGTTGGGGGTCATCACTACTCCGCGTAGTCTTTCTATGGGCTCTCACTTGTCTTCTGTCAAATATAAATGAGGGCATATGCACCAGTAATTACTGCAGTGATCAGCTTTCAAGTAAAGACTTAACATCTGGTGTTACTGTTGAAGACAGAAAAACTTTGATTATGTTTTTCTCTGATACCAAGTTAGAAAATGTTTTGTTTTGCTCTTTTGTGCCCAACTTGACTGCATGACCACCAAGTCTTGACCTTAGAGGACAGTCTGGCTCACTCATATCCCCTTATTGCAATCACATACATCATTTATCAGAACATGCTGTGAGCCCTGCAAAGCAAGCATTTTCATTTGCTGAATGTGTATGTATTTAGCCACATAAAACAAAACCGTGACAAAACGCATCATTTGTTTCTTCGGTCAGGCTGAGAATAAACGGAGGATTAGTAGCATCCAGCAACGGAGTTGATGTCTGATTTCAATGGAGTCTCAAAAACCAAACACATTATAGTTCAGTGATTCATTATTCCCAGTAAACCCGAAGAAAAAATACGAACATGGTTACATATACCTACTCTCCATCTTTTCTTTTGTCTGGCAAACTACCTCTCCAGTGTTTCCCTGTCAAAAGCCACAACCCAAGTCCTTTGTACGCGAATGGTGTCATTTGACTCTTGACTTCTGCGTTTGCGTAAAATCAAAAGACCTGCCTGACATTAGATGGGCTGCGGAGACCGCACGTACATTTCCCCTCACATAAACTCTTTTTAGCCTTTCTTTGCCCCCACCTGAAGTGGTGAGCGCTTCGAGCTGCACTCTGGCCAGCTGCCAGATGTCACAGCCTCAAAGTTGGAGGTCAGTTCAGGGTTATTGCAATGAGAAAAGAAAAAAAACAACTCTTGGAAACTTTAGGTCAGTTTCTTTTAGGTCAGGAAAAAGCGCTGGAATCCTTTTTGGGTGAACATGTTCCCTGTAAAAACTCTTAGAATCTCTTTCATTGAATGCCAGTGATATCAACCCAAAAAATGCACAGTTGCTTCATACCAAATAAAGAAAATCATTGGCATGTTAGTGTACATTATGAAGTTAAACTTTAGTTTCCAAATGATGCAAAATGCCTTTTTGTTCTGTGCGAGATACGGTAAGACATTATGAGAAAGTATCTCATTGATTTTCTGTCACGGTGTTGTCATTGTTAAGGCCTTCCCGTCAAACAGCCATTTTTGGGATTATGTAGTAACAGATGACTCATTACAAACTGTCCATCACAGTCTTATTGGTATTCAACAGATGTAAGAGTTAAATGAAGGGCTAAAATGGAAAGTTTTTTTAGTTAGCAGGCAACTCATGAGGATGGATTCTGCCACGAGAACAGTATGATTTAATAAATGTTTAATTAGAATTATGTAATTATAGAGATTCACTTAATAAAGTGATTTACTTACATTTCTATTTGAATTATGCAATTCAAAACCAGTCATATAAAGGCTTTAAATAATCTGACATGAAAACACAACAGTCAGTGTTTTTAAATGCTTCAAGAAATCTAAAGAGTGAAGAGTGCGTTATTGTTCTGCTGGTACTCTCCATCTTTCACAGCCAGCTTTGCCTTCTTTAATTAATCAAACACTACATTTTTGTTGTTGTGAAACGTGTGTTGGTAAAACATTTCAGCATTTTCAAGCTGCTTGATGTGAAGAGCTGTGAGAGGGCAAACACTTAGACAAAAGCAAAGGTGTATCAACTCTTTTGAGTATTTCTGTACACAATGTTGAGAATGTTGTTCTGACATATTCTTGGTGGGGATGGGGCTGTGGCTTGGCCGACGGTTTGTGTGTATGCGTGTGTGTCTGTGTGTGTGTGTGTGTTTCAGAGCCGCAGCTGAAAGGCATCGTGACGCGACTGTTCAGCCAGCAGGGCTTCTACCTGCAGATGCAGCCGGATGGAACCATTGATGGCAGCAAGGACGAGAACACCGACCACAGTGAGTGGAGCTCTATGGAAGCTGCAGCTTCCAGCATAAAACACTTAATGGCAATGAGTCACTTGGTTATGTAATATATTACCACATTTAATAAGCTGTGCTTTATCCTTTTTAATTCTCACACAACTGATGCCAGCCTAAAGCATTCCCAAATTAGTTAAAATTATTCTTATTATAAAATGATCAATACAAAAAACCTACAATTTTAAACGGGAACCATTCACCAAATTCCACAAGGTAGAATGCCCTCTTTTCCACTTCTTGTTATGCAATAGCATGGATAAGATACAACTGTAGACATAAATGTGTCAAAACCTGCTCCGATGGTTTATGAATCCAGTTCTCTCAAAAGCATACCTTTCACGGTAAGTAAAATCATTATTTATGGGAGCATCTTGTATTGTAATTTATATTCCCAAGTAAAAATGTATTCCAATACCCCCGTCGCTCTCCCTCCAAGTAAACTGCTTCTGCTGTGTACACTGCATGATTGTAAGTGTCACGTTGTTTTGATTGATTTGGCTCTGAAGCGCGTGTGATTAACACCGCAGAAATTCCTTCCTGGAAAAACCTATCGCCTGAAACAACTGCAGCCCCACAGCTTCACTTGTAGTGACATAGAGCCCTGCCTGAGCCGGTTCTTTGCGATATTTCACCACCCAATCGACTTTCCAGTCTCCGGGGAACAGACCCCGACAGATATCACACCCCCTTCCTTGCTCTCACAGAAACAGAAAAACAGGGAAAACATTTATTAAAACATCCAGTATAGGCTTTTGTAACAGTTTCCCATGGGAGGTGGCGGATCAAGGAAGATATGTGTGTCAGCGGAGAAGGGTCGTCAAAGCCGAATAATGACGACACTCCCAGTCTGGAGTGAGGCCAGACAGGAAACCGATCATGACCTTTCTTCTCTGAAACATCCTGCCAATCCTGAAGGCAGCTGGAGCCAAAGCTGCTGGATCGTGGCCGTCATGCGGTGGAAAGAAAGGTCTCTCCCTGTCACTCGTTGCTTTATGTTTTTTGAGGAGATAGATCGTCGGTACTTATGGTATAAAGAAAGATTACAGCACAAAAAAAAGAAGAGTGAAAAACTTCCACACAATGCATTTCCCCTGTGCACCTTTAGCACATTGCTGGTTTTTGGAGTCTCCATTGTGTTCTACAGTTTTTTGGCTGATGAGGTTTTTGTTGTATGCGAGGGTTTCCCCACCTCTAGGTAATCCTCTTGTTAAGCAGTCCCACTTGCCCAGGGATGGAGGAATGCAGTGAATAATTCAGCCAGAGGAAACTAAAAATACCACCTTCCCTGTTTGTACCCAATGAATAATTCTCTATATGAGATGCCTCCAGCTCAGAGACGGTCGGAAGGCAAGACACGGAAAGGGAGCAGGCGAGAGCCGGAGGTGCAACGAGAGGAATGTGTTTTGAGCAGAAAGATAGAGACAAAAAGAGTAAAGAAAAAAGTGATCAAGAGAGATGGGAATGGTGGAAGAAGATTTAGAATTCAGGTCTTGCACTGAGCTATTGATCGCCCGGCTGGATTGTCAAAATAACAGATCGCCCTCACCCTTGAACCACTCCACTCTCTGACCTGCAGCATCTTCAGCAGCTGCAGATGGAACGCAGCAATGTATTATCAGGTTGAGGTTCAGTGGAAGCGAATGGGAGCATGACGGTCGCGCCTGCATACTAGGTGTGACCTGAGCCCGTTTCAATTCCAGTTTTTATTATTTGCTATATTTCTGCGCTGGATGACAACAAGTGCCGAGACAAGGACACAACTGCAGGGCAAATAGGTTTAGCTTGAGAAATGCACAACAAATGGAATTCTGCTTTCACAAAAGACTTGTTTGACCCAACATATTCAGTACACTGCGAGGAGTAATAGAATAGATTTGTCACTGCGGTATGTAAAACTGCTTTAGTGGTAAGCATGACTGGCAGTGCTACGCTTAACTAACTGCGAGGGCTGTGGAACACCATTCAATTAATTAACACCCATGTTCAAATTTGAACAGTTATTAATTTGACTGTCGTCAGTTGATCACCCGCCTTGATTACCTGCACACGCTGCAGCTCCAGAAACATATTGCTGGTTATGAGACACCTGCGGTATCGGGCGTTCGCACTCCATCTGACTCTGATGCTCCTGGTTGATGGACGAGATGAAACCAAGACTCTTTCTCTTAGTTGAAGACCCTCTCACTAATTTCACTGTATATAACAATATATATAAGAAAAAATACCTCACACTACTGTACTGTATAGACCAGCTCTCCCATCTTTTATTTGCATTTCTCTCTGGATTTGGAGACGTGCCCTTGGCATATAAAGTTTGGCTCAGTGTTTCTCTAAACCTTTCCTGCAGGCTTTATTTTCCCGCTGCGCCTGTATTCCTCACATCAAATGCACTTCCTTTAACCTACCTGCAGGATTTGCTTGTCGCCGGAAGAATGAAACGGAAACGGAAGAATTGCCGTTTCAAGGATTTCGGCTTTGTCTGGCTCTTTGACGATAGAAGATTCCTTAAAATCTCTCGACTCTGCGCCATGCCAGATACTCTCTTTTCTCGCTGAGAGATAAGATTGAGGTTATTAAGGAAGAAGAATAGCAATCAGGCACTCTAACAGTAGTAATTATGAGATCCATCAACCATAGAAGTCTGTCTGTTGTGTTATTCTTTGGTTGGCAAATGAGAGCAGGGACGGCAGATCATAACTATAGCAAAATTGTGGACTAGCGTGCCATATTGTATGCCTCTTTTCCTCCCACTTTTCAAGCTATTATGTGAGTCTTTCGAGGGCCCTATTGCAAGTATGTTTTGATAGGTGAAGGTGGTCCAGGGCGGAACACTTCTGGGTTTTAGTGATACGTGACAGAATTGTGGGCTCTGCGTCTGAGAGACACTGCCAGTCAACTGAGCGACAAAGGCAGCAGCCACGAAAGGCAAATGGAAAGAGGAGCGGGGAAACAGACGGAGGGGAAGGAGAGAGTTATGACGGAAAAGAGAGATTGAAAAGCCTGAGAAAACAAAATGTAAGGTGCTAATGGACTCATATTCTGCCAGGGTAGGCCTATCTCAAAGATCTGGCCCCTCAAGGGTATACAAAACTGCAAGAGTGGCCAGTATGTATCACTTGTACCAGTGGCCTTAGGGCAGAGTTAAACCATTGGCAGGCGAAAGCAGCGCGTCGATATTTATCGATTGAAATTGAATCTGTTCGTGTTGTCATGTCTCATCTCGTCCCAGCCAGCTTTATCTGATAGTCCCCATCGCCACCTGCAGAACAATCCTCCCAACAGTACAGGGAATAAAGAGTGTCCTCACACCTTCCATCAAACATACGCCCATGAAAGTCACCGTCCATTCAATAGAACTTTTCAATAGAGAAGAACTTCTTTCAATAGAACTTTTCCAGAGATAACAGGAAGTTGAATCAAATCAGACTTGTTTACAGATTTAATAAAGCCTCTTAGATGATTGACCAAAGATCTTTGAGACCACACTTGAAATGTAATGCGGGTCGTGTACACGGTGTTATTCAACATTAAAGGCCTGAAAACAAATGTTCTCAATCAGCTTATTACCGCATTCGATGCCAACTACGTCTAATCAAACCAGAGCTGTTGGCTACAAATTCACATAAATATAAATCAATGAGACAATACCTGTATTTCTGTGCTACATTCATGTGTAATTTCATCCCTTTAGTAAATATTGAATATATTTGTATTCAGCTCAGTGGGCAACTGTTTATACTATTTATCGTTGGATGTTATGCCATCTTTATTTTGTACGAGAAAGTTCTGGGTTTCTGCTTTAACGTTAATGCTTCACTGTCACGATGAGGTGCGTCAATGTTCCCATTGTTTATGCCCCGCACTTTACTGCTGACAGCCAAAAAAAAGAGATCAGAGAATGTCACGTCTACAAGTTGAGTGGAAACTCAATTGTCCTATTCTGTCCTTTCTGTCTGATGTCTCTCTGTCTCTTCGTATCTGTCCGGCTGTCCCTCCCTCCCTCCCTCGACCTCACTCTGTCTGTTCTGCAGCCCTGTTTAATCTTATCCCCGTGGGTCTGAGAGTGGTGGCCATCCAGGGATTGAAGAGTGGCTTCTACATCGCCATGAATGGAGAGGGCATGCTCTACAGCTCGGTAAGATACCGCCCCTTTGCTCCACTCGCGTAGGTTGTGCACGTGTGTCACCAGAATGTGTGTTCATTTACACGTGTTATGTTTTGTTCTGTTTGTTGTCCCTTTTAATATCCCACTGCAGCAAAGCCCCTTCTAAGCCCCTTTTATCTCTGCTCCATTCGAGAGCTCTTCGGATGTGCCTTTGTGTTGCCATGCAGTGCTCCCCCCCCCCCCCCTCTTTGTTGTTGAAGCAGCACCACGCATGTTTTTCATTTAATTTGACATCAAGTTCAGTGCTCAGCCCTTTTTAAAATTGCCTCTTCATATTTTACCGGCTACTAACGGAGGTTTGTTATGCAGCACCTGTAAACTGAATTTCCACTGAATTTCATTGTGCTTTTGATGCTGATGGTGTTGCTTCCTTTAACTTTATCATCCTGATTCTGAATCATAAAATGATATACATATAGGCTGGTGTGGGTAGCAGATGCACAGGCGTTGGTGGACCCAGTCACAGATGCCAGTCGGAGAAAACATTAAGTCATGGCTAATGGCATTGAGGATGAGGAGATGTTTCTGGAGCACGTTTATGGAAATGAGCTGCAGTGGAAGAGAGTGTGTGTGTGTGTGTGTGTGTGTGTGTGTGTGTGAGAGAGAGAGAGAGTGTGCCAGAGAAGTGGGGTGGGGGGGGGGCATAGGCAGAGATGTAGAGACAGGAAGATATCCCTAGTTGGCATGGTTATATAACCGTCAGTCTCATGGTGCTACGAAGACAGAAGAGGATGGGAGGGCTCCGTTACCCACAAACCTCAGCTGAGGTACATTGTGGCGGACATCTGAAACAGTTATGATAAATGTCTGGCAAGAGCTGGAATTCACAAACTGCCAATCAAATTTTTTCTTTGTCAAAAGTACTCGTAAAAATCCGTGAAGGACACAGTGAAATCCAGTGTCTGTTATGTCTGCCACTTTTACTGCGAGAGAGATAGGAGAACATTTTGAAGTGGACCACATAAACGGCGTGCATGCTGCAATTTTTTTTTTAAAGCCGAATAAATTCAGCGCCACCATTTTCAGTGGAGCGAGCGTTCTCGCTCAGTACGACTTGAGCACAACTCAGTGCCTCCACAGATGTGTGATCGCTCAAAAGTTCAAAGAAGGATGCACGATAAATGCGCAGGCTGTTATGACTCACCCGGTAAGACGGATTCATTCATAACTAAAGGCTCATAAACAAGTGCACGATTTACAGCCCTACTATGAGGCTTATAATAACCCTCCACCCACCTATCTACGTCAAAAGTCTTTCAATTCATTAAATAGACCACAAGTTGGAGATGCTGTATGACCTCCCACACACACACCCTTGATGAAATCCTCATTTGGGTCATGATAATTATTCATTACAAGTGATTCAGGATTTCAGAGGCAAACTGTTTTTTTAAATCATCATTTTAACATATTTTTGATGTTTCTATCCCGGGGAGAAGAGGGTGTTGGTCAGAAGGCAAAAACATGTTTGCAGCAAGAGCTGAAAGTCCATTTTAATCAAAACTATGCAGTGAACAAACTCTCTGGCCATATGGAGGAGGTCCGGCTCCTCAGATGTGTAGCATGGGGAATTAGCATGCATTTGTAGGCAGAACGCGGGTGGCGGGCTGGATCACAGGAAGGCTCATAAGCCTTGAAGAGCCACAGAGTGCTCATAAAGAGGCCAGATTAACATGGAAAGCTCAAATAGCCTCCGTTTCTCTCTCAAACTCCCATTATTTACCAGCTTAATTTACCAACACAGATTATGCTTGTGATAGACACTGTGCTGCAAGAGGACTGTAAAGGAGAACATTTCTGTTCTGTATTCACACTTTTATGAGAGCCCTCATGATGCAATCGGCGCTATAAAAGAAGTCCTTCACTTTCATCATCTTATTACTTACACATTTACTTTTACTGTTATTTGTCCAGATCTTTATCTTTCCCCCCCTGCACCTCCCTCGCTTATTCGCTATCCTCCCTCTTCTTGAAAGATCTCCATTACACTCTTTTTTGCCTTATAAACCATAAGGTTTGTCGCTGCTTGTTTTGTCGTCTTATGTTGTCTGCCTAACATCTGAGAGCCGAGATGCACGGCTCTTACCCCCCCCCCCCACACTGTCTTGTTAGGGAGAAAATGCGACAAGCTTCGTCTTCTATGGGAGATAATCCTGAGCGGTTGTAGTGTTGCAACTTTGGGAAGCCTTTCTCTCAGTCTGTTATCTAGGTGTCAGGTATCTGGCCCGTTACCATTAATTAGGTGGTAACTCACATGCTGGTCGCTGGTTGGCTTTTCTTGCTGGGAGTGCAGAGCTCACGGTCGAGGCTGTTGCAGATGGGAAGCTGATATAGCAACGGGTGAGCAGGGTGATAATGCTTGTGTGGAGTGCTTAGCGATGAAGTGTGTGGGGGCTGAGCATCTACAATGAAGAGCTCCCTTCCATTATTTATAGCACTTCTCAATATGACCTAGTTTACTGCAGTAACCACTGTTCTCTGTGCTATCCATCTATCTATCTCGAGCAGGCACATCTGTCCATAGCTGCACACACAGCAGCCTCTGAACTGTTCAATCGGCTACTCATTTTACAGCTTCTTATTTATGTCACAGAAAAAAAGTAATGCGTCGCAGTAAAACCTTCACTTTAGGCCCTGAGGGACGACTGAGAGGGAGTTAGTGTGGAAGGTCAAGGAGAGATTTCCAGATTTTGTTCGGGTGACGAATGATGATGGCATGTCTTCATCTTTTCTGTCTGGAACAAAAATGGTTCGTAGAAGTTAGGAGAGTCGAATTAAAACTTGAGTGAAGTCTGTGTGAGTTTTTGGGTGCATTGGGGCTGCAACTAATGATAGTTTTATAAATTGTTTAGTCTAATAAATGTCATAAATGATTCGGCTGGCCTAAAGATTTCTTTAGTAGATTAGTGTTTTTTTATGCTTTTTTTCAAGCTGAATGACTTATTTCCCAAAAAAACTTATGAGCACATCTCTGGTAAACACGAGATTTAAAGTGGTGCTTTTGTGTGATTCTTCGTGGAGGGACTCAGTTTTGCAGATCTGTCAATTAAATCAAGTCGAATAAGAATTTCTTTGGTCAAGGACAACTAATTGATTATCAACCTTTCGGGGTTAATTTTCTGTCAATTTACTGCTTTAGCTTTAGTGTACATGCACATTATTAAATTGCTTGACTGTGATGATGGCGCTAAAGACGGTGCTCCCGAGGTGAAGAGAGAGAAAAAGTAAAGTCAGTAAAGAGCATCAGGAAATTAGACATCATCAATGTCCTCCCCGGAGGAAGTTAAGGGAAGGACAGAACCTTCAGTGAAAGTGATGATTGACTTTCAGAGTACGACAAACAAAATGATAAACAGGGGGAGGGTGGGGGGGGGGGGGAGTGAGAAAGAGAGTTTTTCAGTTTAAATAATGTCTAGACAATCCCCGACCTGAATCTCTCTACCAGAATAATAATGAGCTCCCCGGGAGTTCCATTACATGGCAGACTGGGATTCTCACTGAGGCTAAATCTCTCTGATACACCAGTGACTCAGGCTCATATTTAAATGGCGCCCCCCTCCCCCCCATACCCTCTACTTATTCCAAAGTCAAATGGACGCCTGTCGGCAGCAGCAGCGCTCCTTAATGGAGAGCCGGAGAGCTGCCTCCCTCCTCGGATGGAGCCACTATCTGATTGGGATTCAGGATGCGTTCAACTCAGTTCTGTTGGCAACCCAGTAGCCTAGAGGCCATTCATCTCAATTTAGAGCAGAAAACAGAGTGCGAGTGGCCACTCATCCTCACTATAAGTACATAGCCTATAAAATCTGATAAGTCAGGAGATAATCATAGGATGGTAGCTAGTTTTACATGCATGAATATAACCATAATTAGGACCTTATTACATCAAACGCAAGTTGAACACGACAATTTTTTTACATTTTTGGGGGACCAACTCAAACGACAACCTTTGGGTCCCTGGGACTCACTACACTGAAAACCTATCAACATCATTAATTAACATCTACATATACTTATAGTATCAAAAGAAAAAGGGTACTCATAATGCAGAATGGACAATTAGGGATCACTAAATCTGGTTAAATCTTATCTTTAGCCATAATAATGCGTCATCTTTTATTTATTTGTTGTTATTAATATGAATCTGCAAAGTAAACAAGTAACTAAAGGTATCAAATGTGGTGGAGTAAAAAGTAAATCAATTCTTCATCCTCTGAAATGAAGTGGAGTCGAAGTATAACGTACCCATAAAATACAAATAAGTCTTTTGGTTCAAATAAATTCAAGGTGTTGTGAGCTGAAACTGGTAAAGCATTTATATTCTGTTCTCAGCTTTATGGTGTTTGTTCACTACACTTCTGTTTGTTTATCCTCAGCTCCCTCATGTTAGAGAGTGAGCAGTCTCACGTGCCCAGTTTCACTAACAAGTCCTTCGCCTCTCTCCTTCAGAGCACCACGGAATATAAATAAGCGCCCTTATAAATAGTTCATCATTGATGAGCGCAGCCTGTTAGTGCTGAAAACGTGGCACGTCTTTTTCTAAATATTTCCTTGTCTTGCCGCGGTAACACACTTTGGTTGATTACGTTTTCCTGGCAGCGGAAGCCACAGCGCAAACCCGTCGGGTGTTTTGCGTTGAGTACGTGTGCGGATGTAACCGTTCGCCAGTGTGTATTTCTGTGCTCTTCCTTCCCTCTGTGGTTCTGTGGTTCACGCGTGTCCTTTAAGAAGCTCCCATTAATCAGGAAAGAGACTCAGACCTCTTCACCTCATATTTCCACTCTGTCATCCACAAACAAGGTACTCTGTCAAAGACTTCAAAGTCACTTACATTCCACCCCTATCGTTCCCGAGCCAGCAGGGTGCTTTCTAAACTGCTCCTAGCCCTTTTCATGGACAGTAACAGAGTGTTGTCCTTGTGGATGAATTTGGAGGGGATTATACTGCGTGTCAGCAAAGCGAAGTGGCTGATTGTGAAGGGTAGGATTCTAGAGCGCACTTCTGTGTGTGTGTGTGTGTGTGTGTGTGTGTACTCGGCCTGATTTTGGCTCCAAACAGATGAAGAAGGGACGACGCCTGCTGGTGTGTAATGTATCACTGTCTGTCCCCCACCCACTCAAACACATATGTTCACACGCAAACACACAGGCAGCCAGACGGGGACGACGTGACCCCCAGTGCCCCCCAACAGAGCCAGAGACGTCTGCTGTTTGACGGTGTGTCAGCAGGCCCAGATAAAGTCAGCCGCCAGCTCTCCACAGAGCTCGTCCTCCCTCCTGCCGACCAGCTAGACGTTTCCACGCACAGCCGACCATGTGACCTCACCTTCCCAGAGTCCTTTACACAGCCTGCTATGCACTGCTGTGTCTTATAAATGAGCGGTCACTCACACTCATTTAGCTAAACTGCGGTGTGCCATGCGATTGGGCGAAAGTTGCACAAATCGCACAAAGTATAATTACTACATCTACTGTGAAAGGTTGATAGTGACAAACCCACACATCACCGAACTCCCCAGTGGTCTGTCTCGCAATTTGTAACCTAGTTTTGATTCAAGGTTTTTATCAATGCCTTTCTAGTGATGCCCTTTCAGCAACACATCTCGGTGTGACCGGGGCTTAAGGTGGTAATATGTCAACAAGTGGCCAAATAATCAATACGTTCAACATGTCACACTTTAGAGTTGGTTTTCCCGCAAACAGCTTTTAAGGGTAATTTCACCTGAATAACAAAAACACATATTTCCTCACTTACTGCTAGTAACTACTAACAACTATAGATCAGGTTTAATTTGCACAGGTTTTGAGATAAACTGCTCTTAGATTTCTTCCTCCAACCCGATACAATGGATGAATGGAATTTAGTTTGAGGTGCTTAGAGCAGAAAAAAGATATAGGAGGCCACGATTTGCTAATTCACACGCACAATATATAATCTATTAACTCAATTGAATTATATCGTTCCCACATTTTGAATAATTCGTGGGCACGAATTAAATAAGCCTTATTTTTGCCTTGCACAAGGCCAAGTCTTTCATTCTAGCCGCCACCTGCTTGCACTTGTCCTTGGTCCCTAGACTTTTAAATGAAGCTTTACTTTAGCTTGGGGATGAGTTATCAAACCATCTTGACAACTCTTGCCTTGCAAGGGGATTGTTGTTAATAAAAGGCAATTAGTGTTTCCTGTTGATTACTGAAGGTCCACCACAGTTTCATGAAACAAACATATTTGTACGCTTCTCAACGGGTGTGGCTCGCACCATCTGCACAAGGGATTCAAGACTGTCAACCGCGGCGGACGGTCCTCAGAGCATCAGGAGTACGCGGCGATGTCGGAAACCCACCCGACACGTCTTGAAACGCGGACCCCATCTCGTTCGCCATGCTTTGTGGGCTTTTTTTTTGCTATGTTTAACCCAACTTTTCTAAGCTTCTTCCCCCTCTCTCTTTTTCTTTCTATCTCTCAAATTCAAATAGCTTTATTGGCATGATCATAATAAAATACAGTACTGCCAAAGCACTGTACTCTCTCTTTCTCTTTCTCTCTCTCTCTCTCTCTCTCTCTCTCTCTCTCTCTCTCTCAAACCCACACATAAACATTCACCTCCAGCAGGAAGCAAAATTGGGCTGTCAGTCAACTGGACAACCTTAAAAGGGCACAGAACCGCATGAGATATTAATGAATGAAATACATCACCGAAACCCAAACACACACACACAGACAGACAGTACGGTACAAAGTCTGCTTGAATTGAGACCACACAAAATCCACCGAGCCAGCTGTTCCACCATTATCTCCATCACGTTCACAAATGAATGCGTCTTAGATTTGTTAGGGGTAAGACAGTGGAGAGCACGGTTTTGTCTGCTGAACTGTCTCGACCATAATCTGGCAGCGCTCCTAGTCCCGTCAGCGTATCAAATATCTGGCTCGTCCCCTTTTTCGTGTCATTCCTCTCCACCTCCTGTGTGTCCCCTTGACTTTCTCCTTGACCTGCTGCTTTGATAATGAAGCAAAAAGATAACAATCTTCCATTGTTGTTTACCATTATTCTAATAAGACTACTTAGATTCCAAGGATATCTTTGTGTGTGTGTGTGTGTGTGTGTGTGTGTGTGTGTGTGTGTGAATACAGTATGTTTACTGACCTTGGCAGTGTACACATGCTAGTGATGAGAGCCAATATTGGCAGAGTGAAACAGACACAGCTTTCCTTTTTTTTCCCCCTGAAATGGGACTTCATCAAAATCATCCTTCTGTTGTGTTGCTGGTTATGTCTGTATTCATGTGGATACAAAAAAAATGAATTTTGTGTTTGTGTATGCATTGATTGATATGTACCGTGTGCTATCTGTATCCTTCAGTCTCTCTTTTTTTGTTTTTGCAGGAGATGTTCACACCTGAGTGCAAGTTCAAGGAGTCCGTTTTCGAGAACTACTATGTGATCTACTCGTCCACTGTGTACCGGCAGCAGGAGTCGGGCCGGGCCTGGTTCCTCGGCCTCACCAAGGAGGGACAAGTCATGAAGGGCAACCGGGTCAAGAAGACTAAGCCCTCGTCACACTTTGTGCCCAGGCCCATCGAAGGTACGAGAAGCGGTCTTTTTTATGTTTGGTTTGTTTCTTTTTGTGGTTATGCGTGTACTTCCAGATTACAATAAATTGGGTGCACTATTTCAGATATTCTACCCAATTACATGACATGTGTTATGAAAATTATTATGGTCTTTATTCCAGCACAATTAACATTTTGCAGTGGTCACAGTGGTTAAGGGTTAGGGTTAGGGTTAACCAAAGGCAAAATATATATGTGTATGTCTTAAATTTAAAATGTTTTGCTTTAGCAGACAATTATCTTGTTTCAGATAATATATTAGCAACAAGGAGGTTTTTTTTTATTAAACAAATGATCTTGCTATGACAGTACTGTGATCGATTACCTTCCTAGTTTTAATTCTCTAAAAGTTCCATTATTGAAGTGAGTGCTCTGAAGATAGGACAGATTTATAGTTCAGGGTTGGCAGTCATTTCAAGTGTTCACATTTGAAGTTAATATGCTTTGACATTTTTAAATAGGTTTAGGAAATTAGCTTATTCAGTTTCTTGCTGAAAGTTAGATGAAATAATATAGACGCCACTCATGTCTGTATGCTAAGTATGATAATACAACCACAGACTGTGAATAAGAAGTGGACGTAGTCACCATGACGTCAGCCATTGGTTTGTGGACTACGGTTTTTAAGTCTTGAATTGGCATTTTACTCTAAATGGGACCATGATTTCCTAAATGAACACCATGCTGTAATGAAGACAACTTGAAAATATAGCGATTGAGACCATAAACTCATGTTTACAATGTTTACTGAGGTACTAAATCAAGTGAAGAGTAGCATTATTTTCTCATAGACTTCTATTCAATCAGAATTATTTTTGCAACCAGAGGAGTCGCCCCCTGCCATTAGAAATAATTGAAGTTTCAAGTTGGTGGGTGGAATTCTTCACCTGTTAATGCCATGCAAGTTTCCCCGTCGCCACTCTTTATGCTAAGCTAAGCATGTTGGCTGCTAGCTGCAACTGTAGAGAGTGGTATTGATCCTCTCATCTAACTTAAATCTATTGTTTTGACAGTCAGACTCAAGATTCATTCATTTTGTGCATTTCTTTAGCAGATGTGGGTTTATTTTTAAATATCACCTCTAATGTTTTTCTCGTGAGAGCAGAGTTTGATCTCATTAAAACTTGTTGAGCAATGGGACAAAAAGTGCTTACATGGCCCTAATTCCCTGCCTGGTAAGTGTCCCTCCAGCCTCACACCTGACCTTGTCTCTATCTCCACATCCATCTCTTCAATCTGCTCTCCATTGTCTCCTTTTTGAGCTCCTCCTCTCTTTGTCCTGTCGTCTCCTCCTCCACCTCTCCTCTCTTTACATCTCCACAACAGTTTGTATGTACAGGGAGCCATCAATGCATGAGATTGAGGACAAGCACCGCTCCAGGAAGAGCTCAGGGACTCCCACCATGAATGGAGGAAAAGCTGTCAATCAGGACTCCACATAGCAGCGGGGGGAGGGGCTTCCAGCAGGGGGAGTGGCCTCATCCTGACTCAGGGGGAGGGGCCATAGGAAAACTCAACACCACCCCCCCCCCCCCAAAAAAAAAGAATATGCACCACCATTCCCTCTGCAAAAAAAACAGGGTGTTGCGTCGACGAGGAGCTATTACCGTACACCCAAGACAACAAAAACAGAACTGAACTCTTGCCTGTGAAAACCTTTTAGATGAATTAATATCAAACCAGAGGATATATATATTAAAAGAAAAAAACATTTTCAATCAGGACGTGACCAACATTTTATGCAAAAAAAAAGAGAAAAAGCTGTGATAAACAAACAAAGGAATGGTGGTCTCTCTTCACACAAATACAAATATATATCATTTCCAATTTATGCTGTGAAAAACAAGCTTTAATACATGTTCAAATTTTCATACATTGGTTTCTTTTCTAAATGCTATTGCACTCTCATATGCTTTATTGTGTTATTGTCATCAGTAGTAACTATAACATCCTCATCATTACTAATCTGTTGTATCTTATTCTAATTACTATCATCATTATTCTGGATTTATTTTCATTTTGAAACGAGAGAAAGTGTTGTTGTATTTGTTCAATTGCTGTTATTTTCTCTCTCTCATAGTTTGATCTTGAATGCACTGTCGCACTAACTGCTCTTGTGTGAGGGTAAGACTGAATGTATTTGATAGTTCTCTGTGTTGGACTCCAATGGAAACAGAGTGCTTTGGGTGGGATGTAATTTACTCAGGTGTGTACTGTAAGTGGGACTAATAGGACAGATAGGGTTGTTTCAAGTACTCTAACAGGAACGCCCCTATACTGTTCGCCAATGACGGGACAAGACTGATTCAAGCAATAGAATAGATAGCAGTCGAGTGTGTCTCCAAATTATAGTAAAAAACAGGCTGACAGCACATCCCTGTGGTTAGGTGTGTCCGTCAGTAGAGAAGACTGACAAAGAAATTTGGACGAGTAGGTAAAAGTCTAAGTCAAGGAAAACTGTTTTGATATCACTTCAATATACTCTTTAACATTTGCAAGGATTATTAGGTTCTAAGTAAAGAGACGTCAAAAAGTGGTAAGGAAAAGTATTCTCACCAAAAGCCAAGGGGACGATAATGACCAGCATCAGCAATATGAGCCATGGCCAAAAGAAACCGGTCACTTCACATTTACACCTCAAGAAACACAGACCCCTCTCTCTGCTGTTTAGCTCGGCTACAAATATAACCATATAACAGTATACATGCCTTTGAACTATATGGATAAAAGACTGCTGCTGTTTCTTTCCAAGCAAGAGAAAGTTGTTTTGGCAGGCGCGGCGACGACGAGGAATATGTGTTGAGTATAGTTTCTAAGACTATTTATGTTAAGTTTTATTGTGAAAGTATTCAAGATTTCTCAAAAGTGGTGGACAGGGTGCCCGACTGTTTAATAACCCTCTGACCTGACTCGTTGATGTTTTCAATATAAGGTCGCAATCATTAAGACCATCACAATGGAAGAATGTCTCATTGAGGAACCAGTTCGTCTGGACTTAGCCAGGTTTAGGGGAGGACGTTCTACTAATGCCGGTGAGACTATCTCCCCGTTTGTTTTCCCTCACATGGTAACCCATAAACTCTCCACCCCCCCCCTGGTTTTGTGACCCATGAAATGAGGCATTTGCTGCATTGTGGAGGGAAGCTTCTCTTTCATAAATCAACATGCTGACAGGGCTGTATAATCAAGGTGATTTGAATGGTACATACGCCGCGTATGCTACATAGCTCATTCCTAATCCCCAATTAGTTTGTCTAACTCAGGAAGTCCTACAATTGTTCCACGAAGGGGGCCAGACATAAAGACTGGCCGCTCGTTGTCCAGCACCCGTTGCACAAAGCCTGGCCACCGGTGTGGTGTTCAAGGAGGTCAGGACAGGGTCGATGGTGTTTTTATCATTAAAAAAGTAGTGTACGGCTAAGCTTAGCCGAGGGAGGTCGGGAAAAGGGGATTTCAGGAGCCGAGATGAGCATGAACATTGCATGACTGCAAGGGGTGAAGTAAGCTTGGTTTCGATTTCGAAGGCGAGAGCTAATAAAAAGATTGTTTCAAATTCGGGGAGTATTAAGTCCAAAACATTTTTATGCAACATTTTGATGCAAGAGAGTTTCCAATCTCTGCTATTGTCTGGCTGGATATTGTATGCTAATTTGGTGGTATGTACAGTAAATAGCACACATTCAGTTGCACAGAGCAAAACTGCAGAGATATCATAGATCTGGTGTTCTACCATGTGCCTGGGTCCATAGCTGGTGCAAGTACCGGTAGATTAGTTCAACTTCCACAGCACGTATACCTAACAGTGATGCATACAGTATATTAGACGAGAGACTGAAAGTCAACAGGCAAGACCAGCATACGAAAGTATCTTTTTATAGAGGTTTATATTGGTGCAAATGACATACATGTGGGACTTAAAAAGCAATGCATGAAATTGGATGTACCCGATGTCAACTGTTGACGGCAGAATGAGAGGATTTGAGAAAAGGGACGAATAAAGCAAAGAGGTAAAAAAAATAAACAGCTGATGTAAGCGAGCGGTAAAGGAGAGCACTTTACAGGAGGTTTATTGATTTATGAAAGGGCGACCAAAGGCTTTGGTTGTTTGTAATATTGAGTAGAATTTATTGTTTTTATGTTTGCAGATGATTTCACTGCATTGGAACACGCCCATATATGCATTATGAATTGTGAGATGAAATAAAAAAAAATATGCATTGATAATAAAAATCAGAATGAAGTTAGTGATTGTTTAAGAATAAAGACTATGTTATCAAAAACTTTCACCGATAAGATTGAGTCAATGTGTTGTTGATTGTGACTGACAGCTGTTGTTTGTGTGTTTTTTATTTTTTATTTAAATAATGTCACTCATTGCACCAACAAGAGCAGCAGCAGGATCAGCAGACTAAACCCATCAACGTGGGGTTGTTAAATCCAATCCGCTCCTTCCATTAATTCACCGGCCGTGATTTATCTTCTCACTAGCCCCTAAATCCAAAGTGTCATTTTGGGATGGCGCTCCTTCGCCCTTAATTCTGCGGTTGTCATGGAAACAGACCTTTCCGCGCTGTCTGCAAGGAGAATGAGGAGGAGGAGGAGGAGGATGATGAAGGCTCCCCTGACTTTCAGGATGTAGCTTGTCTTCTCTCCTGCATGATGGCTGCAGCAAAGGGGGGCAGGACATGTTTTCTCACATGCACACTTCTTGCCATTCCAATCTCGATTGCAATTGATCTCCTGCAGTGTTGGTTCATCTTTACGTCACAGTAGTCTACTCCTCACTTCAAATAAAGCTCCAACACATAATTGAATACAAGTCCAAACCCATGCAAGCGGGCAGGTCTGTGAGACTTGGGCACAGCAGGGTGCTTTGAGCTAAATGCTAACATTAGCATCATGACATCCTGCTCACAATGTCACACTAAGTACAGCTGAGACTAAGTTTTACAAGTGTTATTTTTGTACTACTAGATGACTAAAAGGAAAGAAATTCCACAGCATTTTATTGCTATTCAAATGAGAGTACCCCCCCCCTCCAAACACTGAGTAAAAATGAGATCACGTCTTATTGCAATCAATATGCCGTCTTGTTCACTGCCTCCACTGAGGGCAGAAAAAAGTCACAGTCAGCTGTTCAGACGCCCATGGGAGTTGGCAGTCTAAACAGGGTCATCTGTTCAGACACACATACGGAGGTCAAGGGATGCAAACAGCTTGAATGCCGCTCCGCACTCTCGTCTCAGAGCCTCAGCTCTGGCTGCTGGCTCCGTTACTCCTCTCACATCCACCTCCTCCCCCAACTTCCCTCCTTTCTCCAGTGTAAAAGAGGGAAACCTTGGTTGTATTAAAATCTACTCAAATGTACCTTAATTACCATGATATCATTGTTTTGAAGTAGGCTATATCTTTACTCACATGTATTATTTAAATGATTAACAATTGAATCAGCATAATGAAATAGTGAATCTGCCCTATAGCAACCTTCAAATAATCTCTGTGAGGCTGAGGTTGACAATACACATTTTTCATATGTTATACAGCATAACTTTGATTTCAAAGACAGCCATCATTTTAGTCAACAAACTGTCCAAGACCCAAAGCTTCACACAGCAAACGGGTTCTACGGGATAACCCAAGAAACTAAACGTTGAGGGAACAGTTTGATGGTTTTGGTTGGAAAATTTCTTTACACAACACACACACAATTAGATATGAAATATGTTAACATCTTATAAAGCTTAAGACAATAGTTGGTGGGACTTTGATGCATGGGTATTGGAATATAATCAATATTATATTTGATAGCCCTATTTAGTGCAAACTATTCACAGTGGCAATTTTGTATTGTAGTGTTCGATGTCCTCTCTTAGTAATTCAGCTGATCCGACATTGATATGTTGGCCGATGTTTTTTTTAAACATTTGCACAGTTTTTATGCTGTCACACAGTTGATATACAGTTTATAAATAAAATGTCTGCAGGGTGGTCATGTCCGTCAATCTTTCTGTCCAACACACCTTTAGGTCTAAATGGTCCCCAACATTTTGATCCATGATGTGTTATCTCAATCACTACAAGAAGAGTCTGTAGCCAGCTGCACTTAATGTTACGGACACATCTCAGCATAGCAGCATGCTAGGATTTGATAATTGGCAGCAAAGTTATTACAGTATTAAGAAAAGTAAAAAGTAGGATTGCTTAAAATGTAATATAAATAGAACTTTTTACACAAAATTTAAAACACCACAAAATAAGGTCCATCATGATGTCAAGGTAGAAGTTGCACAAGGAAGAACACCACCCACACCCCAGTGTGTGCAAAACAACAATACATTATGTTTTCTATTGATGTAGACATTTGCAGCCAATACAACGTATTTTCAATTAGACAACCACCAAGAGGATAAACAATTACACATAAATGTCCAAAAACAACAGCACCTACACCACGGCGGTTGAAAAAACATAACAACTGCAGAATAAAGCATCTCCAAGTCATTCAACACAGAGACGAGCAGTTTAGCGCGACCCAGGAGCCAGCATGCACCTGGCCAGCGTGTGTGTTTGACTTGGGTCACTGGGAGCGCCCGGTGGTGCATTAAATCAGTGATTAAAGTTGTTTTTTTAATATCCAAACCATGAGACATGTCACAACGTGACGCTCGACCAGTGAAAGTACACATTCGACATTCATCTTTAACACAATAACAGCGGAGTGCAGTGGGTCACCTCTCTGGACGTGATGGTGATGGATCACCATTACAAGTCCTACTGAGGGGGTCATGACATTCTCAACCAGATTTCATGGCACTCCATTCATTAGTGGATCGATATATATAATGGGTCTACAGCAAGGTGGCGGACCAACTGACAGACATGCTTTGCATAAATGAACTTTACTTAGCATCTTCAATCATTCCAGACCCCAGAGGATGAACTAGACCTATTTCAACTGCTTCTTCCTCCCTCAGGTCAGAATATCAGGTTTGTATTTATCCCAGCAGGTTGTATAGTGTGGACACACTGTGCACCTGAAATAAATCGGTTTGATGCTTTTATCTATCTAAATTGTGCATTTAACAGACAAAAGAGTTGGTTGATTCAAACTGCACTAAACGATTTCTTCACTTGTTACATAGCAACCGGTGTATTTTCCAAATTCTCCTCCCATGGCACCCCATCATTTCATTCTCTCCTCTTTTCTCTCAAACCATCTGTGTTAACGTGCGTTAACTTCTCTGCTGGGTCGAAAACACCGTCTTCTATTTATGGCCTGTACAGTTATTCCTACAGACCTGTACATGCCTTTGTTTGTCTTTTGCAGACTCATGGGCACACAGAGTAAAAATATTCTTGATCTTGTATCCCAGGCATCGTTCCTCGCTCCCTGCCTTACCTCTTTTCATCCTGTTGTTTTGACATGGGCCTGTGCCACTGGGACTCTGCTAGTTTCTCTTTTCTCATCCTCTCAGTGAGAGAATGAGGGAACTCCTCCTCAGAAGTGGGGCGTTCGCTTCTTCTCATTAAAAATAATTGGTCTCTGTTCAATCAAGGCTCAGTGATGCTCCTTTGATCTAGCTGGTTCTGTGTTTTTTTTTTTTTTGTAATCTGTCTTTCACATTCAAATCAACTGCTCGGAGTTGGCAAAGGTACTGGATAATTGGTTCTAAAGCGTTAACTTCCGGAAGATGCCTCTCATTACTCTGTGATTGATTTCCTGCCGTCGGCGCCTCCTGTTTGCAGATGAATACTGCGAGGAATATAAGGCAGGTGAACATGCTCACTGATACTTAAGAGACGCAAGACACATAGAAGTATACGTGCACACAGAAGCCCACACACACACACACTGCAAATCCACTGGCCCAGCCACTCACCCACACACACTTGGTATTTTGTACTCTCTCACACTGCAGTATGAGCATGTTAATGTGCTGGCAGTGGTTCCTGTTACTGGGGGGGGTGGGGGGGGGGGGGCTGTTCCGTTGAATCCCAATAGCCCAGGGACAGAAAGGATACTAAGCCAAGCTTTGACTGCAGTTATGCTCCAACACTGCTACTTTAATAATAATGTCTCTCATCCCCTCGCTCATCCTCTTTGCACCTCTCTTTCCCTCCCTTCCTCTGCTTTCTCACAGTCCTAATCTCTATTCCCTCTCCACCTCTCTATCCAATTTGATACATTTCTTTTTTTTTCTTCTGCACACCATGTAATCCTCACCAAATTCACCTCGCATTTCTACATGTGTAATACACACATGGTGGAGATCGATGCATTTTGAACAGATAGGCTTTTAGGATATACGATGCTGCATAGCTACTTAATTAAATGCATGCTCATCAGTGCGTTGATGTGGGATGTTTTATTAGACATATTTTATGCACACACAGGAGTGTATCAGGAGATATGCAAATACAATATACGAGTTGCACACTGATGCAGATGCATGCACAAATGCCACACACACAGGATATTTTGTCTCTGTCAGATTGCATGCCAAAGGTACAGCGCACTTACATAGGGGAACGGGTTTCTACGATCATTGGCATAACAGTTGAAGGAACATCAAAGACAGAGAGGATGAATGGATGTCTGTAAAGCTAGGGGTTTATTGCTCTGCTGGCCTACCGTGAAGATCACTGGGAACATCAAACACACATGCAGACATTTATGACATTTTAAGTCTCTGGATTTCACAGAGAGAAGAACAGCTTCCTCTGCTGGAGTGAACATAATGTGGCAGAGGAACCTGCCAGCAAAGAGGGGGCCCATGTAGGCAGAAGTACTTTGATGTGTGATGAATGAATGCATGTGGGGGATCCTGATTGATTTGAAATGTAACAGATGCACTGGCAAATACGACACTCATGTCTACAGGTGAGTGGAGCACAGTTGGTCATCAAGAAAGTACAGTATAGTTGTTCAGCTCTCTGCAGGTTTAAAAAAAAAAACTTTGGTAGGGTTCTGCAAGAGCTTTCCCTCAGTAACTGTTCATTTACCAATCATTAAATATTCAGTGGCCACTTCAGGACTGTCAGCTGTACTGTAAATAATACTGGCACGCAGGAGTAAGAGGGTCAAGGATTGTTCAACTAACTACAAAAAGGAGAAGTCGCTGAAGTGCTTTTAAACAGATTGAATGTTGCTGAGGCAGAAACAGCCAATATGTGGAGCTACAGCACATTCAATTGTGTAAAGTTTACTGAGAACGGCGAAATTAAATCATGACTGACAGAATTTTATTTCAAGTGAGCTGGCAGAATGTTAAAAAGACAGGACTCAAGATTTGTGTGGAGAAGCTGTCTTTCTAATTGCTTTGGTGAAGTGGCACCAAGAATGCAGGCTTTATGGCTGCTATAGGTTTATTAAATGAAGTGAAAGCTGTGTATGCAGTGAACAGATACATCCGCACAATAGTGTCCCCCCATGCTTTATAGACACAGGCAGATTGATTTGAGGCGGAAGCTAATTAAAGCTGCCATAATGTTATGTATTTGATAAGCTATCAGCATAGAACATTCATGTGAGCATGAAGCATATGAAGCTCTTGTAATCTGAAGACGTAATGCAGTGGAATGGTTGTATGGGACTTGCTCATTTCTTCTCAAAATGTTATTAGTTATGTAATCAATGTAATCTGCGGGACTTTTTTGTTTTTTTTCAGAAAAGTTACAGTTCATTTGCATATTGGGTCAAATGAACACAGACAGAGCACTTAAGGAATATGTCTTCATCATGATGCAAGATGAGGGTTAAAGCAGTAATAAATCAAGTAGGATGTCAAGAGAAAACTACACATTAAAAAGCCATAAAAAGAGTGAGTGGAGAGAAAAATCCATTTGATTGTTTTGATGGAAGTTAGCAGGTAGTCCAGGCTTTCCAGAAGAAGACTCTGCAGCCAACTCTGCGAGACATCGTGCCCGGTCCACGTCGATTCTTCTCCCGTTTCTCCGTGTCCGTGGGTCCTTTGGGGATATTTCCATCTTCAAATTCGGAGAGTTTATAAAGCCATTCCATCAAGTTCAGTTTCTTTGTTGATTCCTAGGGAGGAAAATATTGACTTAAAGGATACTGAACACTCACAGGCTCTTACATTTCTTTCTTCACCATGTTTGTACTTCAGGGAAATGGGAATTTCTACCAAAATGTACATCAGTTTATTGAATACTACAGAACTTTTGCATTTATTGCTCACGGCCAGAAAGGGAAATGCAAACATGTGTTAGTACTCTAATCTCTAATCTGCAATTTCATGGAGCTGCAGCTCTGAGGATAATAAAATGACAGTAATCAGACAGGTAGCTCTGGCAGCATCCACAATGACTCACTGGGGATAAAATGATCCTTTTAAAAGATCCGAATAAATCAAATGTGTGTGCACAAGTACAGACAAGTTTTATATATATAACAAATAGTAGACAGGACACCCTGATGCCTGCAGTGTGATCATAGATGGGACTTGCGGCCTCGTTTCAACCGTTGAGAGGAAGGATGGTGTTGTGTAGTACTAAGGACATTATGGAGTAGGGCATTAAGAAAAAATAAAAACATCTTACTTGTTTGTCTTGTAATTTGTCGAGCCACGGCAATGAGTCTTGCTGAAGTTGGAAGTCTTTAAATCCCAGCTCAGTCTCTGTAGCTTCCGCAACACACAATGCAAAACACAAAAGTGCAAAGATGCATAAGATGTGGGCCATCCTTCTTTGGGATATCTTGCTTGTATGCTTCTTGTTGAGATAATTCTTCTTGGCAAGACACCACCACATCCACCGCTGATCTCACTGGCACAGAGACATGTCTCCTTTTAAAGTAGTACCTAGGCCCAATAAAGGAGGAGGAGTGAGCAGGTTGTTTACGGATCATCCTCAAATTTGTGTTTTTCCCCCATCAAATGCATTGAAGCGTGTACCATGTAATTTACAGCCGTCATTAGGAGTGAGACAAGAGGTCTAAATAAATGCTGCCATTGGCGTAACTTGCAAATGTGAAAGATTCCCTCTGCCTTCTAATTTAAAAGCAAATCCCTGGAAGCAAAGTGAAATGTGCACTTGCGTAAAATAAAACGTTAATGACGCTGACATGGGGGGAAAACAATGATTTCATTAACCCTGCTGCGTCGTAAAAGTTGAATCAACGGCCAGCGCAGAGACACTGGGATATACAGAGGCCATAAAGGTCAACTCATCATTCCTTACACCCTTGTGAGTTGGTTCTGTTCATCCCTTAATGAGATTTCTGCTCTGTTTCACTTAACAGTTCTACTGCATCTAAATTAGGGAACATCTCTCACAGGCTATAATTTTGCAATGGCACATACTGTAAATAAGCAGCTGCATTTCGTGGTCTGAAGATTTTACAACCCTTGCCTTTAAAGTCACCGTGTTTTAATGTGTATCAAGTCAGTTTTCTTTTTAAAAGATAAATGTAAAAGCAAAGTAGGTCAAAAGACTTTCTAAAGTTGTAAATTCAGTTTGAAACTAAATGTGACAACAAACTTAGATACACACAAATGTGGATGGACAAAATCCAAGCTGCAAGTGACTGGAAATTATACGTTTTAACGGTTGTTCCTGTGTGAGGATTTTACCTAAATAAATAGCTAGTAACCAGTGTGAGTGTAATGTCTCTCTAACAGATGTTTTCTAGTCCATGTGAGGCACATGTGGAGAAAAAAAGGACACGTGTCCTTCTCAGGAGACAACCTTGAAGCGCATCAACCTTTCAACATATCGCCATTCTAACCCAATTACAGAAGTGTAGAAGCCTATAGCTGCCTGAACAATTAGTAAGTGCACTGTCGTGTGCAGAATAATCCTGTTAAGAAGGCTACCGAGAGCACTTTACAGCAACAGTGTTTCTGTCCATGCTGACAGCTGTCTGCACCAGGCCATGTAAGACTGATTTAATTTAAGGTGGCTTTCAAGGAGTTGCTGCTTGTTATCCTTTTTTTTCTTTTTTTTTGTCAGATGTGCCAGGACTCTATTTTTAATGAGTCGTGATTCTGCCCCAAAAATGTCAAAAATAAATGTGATACTCAGTGTGATACTTCATCACAGGTTTTTTAATTCCCGTAAGAGGGTTCAGCTCCTCTTCAGCTGCGACTCGTGTTAGCTGCCTCCCTTACATAAGCACACAAGGCTGCTTGTTATTTCTGACTCTGAGCAATCGATACGTTGGAATATGTGTGCACAAAAAAGCAACAGCATTGTGAACACTGTTGTTTGAGGATACTGTTGTACCTTTTTTTGCATTTAGCTGCATGTGGAGTTTGCATCTATTGATCCCAGTGACAGATATGGATGAGTGAGCTTGAGTGAGTGCTCTGCTGATACTTGTCTGAGTGAATAGTGTAGAGAAATAAGATGTTGAAGAGGAATGAAGCTATTCTGGATTGCAAATTAGCTTCATTGTTTTCGATCACAGCTTCTTTCAAACCGCTAGAATCAACAGGCAGATTAACGTACCATTAAAACAGTCATTATTTCTCTCCATTCATATTTTATTTTAATGTCTTTTCCTGCAATTGACAAACCAAAAGGAGAAAGATGGGATGTAAAAAGAAAAAACATTCCACAATGTATCTCTCAAGATCTTAATGTGCATTTTCTTTTGTCTGGAAGCCACAGAGGGAGCCTTCTGACAGTTCATTTAGAAATGGACTGGAGAAAGTTGCAGGCTGTATGAGTCATAAGCTTTAATCCTTACCATGCACCATTTAACAAGCCGGAACTGAAAATAAATGCTTTTAGAGTGAAGGCACAAATGACTCAATATTTGCGTGTGAAAACACAACAACCTAACAATTCCAAAGCGAGAGCATCACATTTACAACATGCCGCCTCTCCAGGTATCATAGGAACATGTGTGTGTCATCTGTGACCTCATTATTTTTTACGTCATTCATTGACATCAGCACCGTATGGATAATTATTTCTCAGTGGCCTGGCCGTCGTCTGCATAAAATCATAACATTTGGTGCATGTTTGTATCCAAGGCACCTTTAGTCACATGGACACAGCAACATAGGAGAATGGTGTTGTGCTTTCATCAATGACAGCATACAGTACATGGTCAGACTTTAGGTTCGAACATGGTCAGATGGCCTAGCTGTGTTCAACGTGTCACTGACAAATCAAGTTAAGTATTGGCAAGCATATAAAGTAAAACTGGATGAAAACAACACATTTCAAAGAAAAGACTAACTGAAATGGGCGCAGTGGTGCTATTGCTACTAGTATCACTACAACAACTAGCAGTACCTTTATCACTGCTATGACTAGCTGGTGTTGAGGCCCACGTGTGTCACAGGAATAAGTTCACACAGGTGGCCCACCACAGCCTCGATAACATATAGTGACTCACTAAATGTGTCATTACTTTTAATATGCACTATTATCAGAGCTTACATAACACCTGCAATTAAAGTGATTGGCAATTTGCTTGAAATGTATTTTATTCACAGCTAAGACTCATGAACACAGATGTGTAACTCACACCAGTGTAACAAACGGATAAACACACTACAAACTGCCGAGACTATTTTATCTCACATTTCTCATATTTTCAGATCTAAAAAATTACATCGATAAAGGAAATACTGAACGCTAAAAATTGTCCCCGCGTCTGTCATCTCTTGGTTGCCATGGTTTCCTGCAGACCCGACAACGGCTGATGACACTTTGTAGAGAAAGTCCCTTCACTGTGTGAGGAACAGGATTACTGTAGAAGAGAACAAAACACACACACACACAAGCCCAATGTTAGAAATGTCATTATAAATCACGCGTAGGGTTTTGGATTACAGCTGTATAATAGCATAACCAAATCAAAAAATCAACATAGGATAGGAATTTGATTCTTTGGCGCATCTTTATTATCATACAGACAAGCAAAACCAAGAAAAAACTATGCTAAAAAAAACGTCTCTGCAATATGCAGCTGTTCGTGTCATCATGAAACACCCAACCGTGTGAATAATATGATTTAAACTGCGAAAGAGCGTCATGCCCCATGGCATGCATCCACGACTGTTATCAGAGAAGGGAAGAGTTTACCTGAACATGCTGTTGGGGTCCAGGGAGGCCAGCCAGTAGCTATAGGAATCAGGGTAGTAGTTACAAGTTCCCCTGCCATGACACTCGATGAACGGCACTTGGCGGAAATTTTCCAGACATGAGCCGGGAGAAACCAGGGGCTGGGAGGAGCCCTCTGCTCCAGCACCCGTTTGCTAGAACGGATGAAGGTCAAGTTACATGGAAAATAGCTTTTGAGAAGATCCAGGTTGAAAAAACAAACAGAGACTTCTTTACCATGACAAATGAGTATCCAGTCCATAATGACTCCCAGTCTCGGGGACATTCAGGTGTCAGAGTTGTCTGGCTGTGGACGGCTATGACGTTGGAGGTGGTTTCACACACTGAGCACCTAAACCAGACATGCATACAGAAATCCACATTAAAACTGCCCCAAGTAATTGATATGTCTCTGTCACTGTGTGTATGTGTGCATGCTCCTGCCCCACCTGCTGATGTAGGAGGCCAGTGTATCCCCTGTGATGGAGGCCATGTTGGTAGGCATAGGAGTGTCAGTGGACAGCCAGTAGGAGTAGTCGTTACGAGAAGCATAGCGGCAGTTACTCTCCGTGTCACAAAACAGGAAGGGCATGGTGGAGAAACGGGGGAGACAGCTTCCCATGGTGCCTGAGAGACAGGGTCACGAAATGACTCAAGCAAACAGCAAAGACACGGGTTTTTAAGATGCAGACTCTGTACAGTGTTTCTGTTGAGAAAAGGAAGGTTTCCGTGCTCTTACCAAGGTCCTGACCATGGGCTCTCTCGTTTCCGTTGATGAAGAGCAAGGAGTAACCAGAGTAGATGAGGCTGGTGCCACGAGGGCAGTCAGGGACACTTGTGCTCTGACTGTGTCTGGCGATCAGGAAACTGTCAACATAACCTGGACCACCTCTGCCTGGCAACCCTGGATGACCCTTGTTGCCTGGGTCTCCAGGTCTGCCTTCTGAACCTGCAGAGGAAACACTAATTAAAAACATTTTTTGGGGGTGGGGGGTAGGGAGATGTACTTCAGTCTTAGTCACTGCTAACGCTCACTGTTGGACTGAGGAGTGTATTTTCAATATGGTCACCAGGAGGGTGTGACACAAGGTTCAGGTCTTCCGCTAAATCCCTCCCATGCCCAGTGCAGTGGTCACATGTGCTTTAGACAGGCATCGCAGCAAATTCCTATAGTTATTATCATGACATAACATCTGGTCTGCACACACAAACACCTTTCAACTCACACACATGCACACACCTGGCAGTCCTGCTTGTCCTGTGTCTCCTTTGAGTCCAGTAAATCCAGGATGGCCATCTGGGCTGGAACCACGCTGGCCTTTGACGCCTGACTGACCTGGGACAGAAAGAAATGCCCATCGAGGGACTGGTGTTGGAAATGAGCTTCAGCCATATACACATATAAAAAAACATCGCACACTGCTTCAGCAATTGTCAAGGTGTCTCAGACAGAGAAAAAAAAAACAAGGAAAGAAAACCAGCTTCACGGACGTGACATGATATAGTTTTAACAAGCAATAGAAAATAGCACATCTTAAAAATCAATGCATAGATTAAGCTGAAATATTATTTTGGACCTGGTTGGCCTGGTGGTCCTGAAGGTCCAGTGTTCCCCGGGGCTCCTCGATTGCCAGAGGGACCAGGTGAGCCGGGAGATCCTGGTTCATATATCACCGTGCCATATGTTGGATCACCTTTTAATCCTGTAGTGAAACAGCAGGAGCATTTACAAAGCTATTTCCCAAAATACATAATGCCTGTGTGCCATGGCTGATCTAGAAGGAGTTAATGCCAGTAATGCAGATGGGACAACAGTTAATCAAGTGCTAGACAGGTAATCTGACGGTGATGGGTAGAGTATTGCATCTCTGCTGCGAGTCCTAAAGGATGTCTGTTAAGATGTAGAAGTGTATTACGTCTGAGAGATAATCACAAGGCTCAGTTTTATTCCTGGTTATTTTTAACAGTAGTAAAACAAACGTTTGCCGCACCAGGTCGTCCAGGAAAGCCTTTCACCCCAGGTAGACCAGGAGGGCCAGGGATGTATCCAGGGTCTCCCTCGACACCTAAAACACACAAGTCATGAATAGATTTTAAGGGAATTAACTTGCCCATCACACCCTATTGCATAAATCACATCTGATTGGATATCACAGAAGAAAAGTGAAATTTATTTTTCTCTGTCCGCTTGGTTTTCTGTCCAATTTGTATTCCATCTCAGTTGTGTGAACATACATCAATTGTTTTTGACGATTGTTACTCTTCTGTGGTGACAGATCTGCTGCTGTCTGGGGAAGAATTCAAAGAGAATACCTAATCTCTAGGCTATGATTGAAATGATAGATTACCAGGGAGCCCATGGATTCCAGGTAGACCAGAATCACCTATTGGTCCCGGGACTCCAGGTCTGCCTCTTGGACCCTCAAGAGGCAAATGAAACATTGAAAGGTCGAAGATTAGACTTTTAGAAGAGCAGCAAGATTTGGAAGACTGAGCTTCTGTTGTGAAGCTCTCATTTTTAGTTTCTCTCATTTTTAGTTTGTGTATTTTTAACTGCATTTTTCAATGTTTGTTTGTAAGAAAATCACACCTCATTTGTTAAAATACAAATATGAATGCATAAAATTGGGCTTGAATCTTAATTCTCCTTTGAAAGACTATTTTCTTCAAAAGATAAATGTAAGGCTCACTTACCGGTGGTCCTTCAGGGCCTGGATCTCCTCGTGGTCCACTATAGCCTGGGGCTCCTGTAAGACCTGGGTCCCCTCTGTCTCTGTTTAACCCCGGCACTGTGGGACCTGGAAGGCCAGGTAAGCCACGATAACCTGCATATACAGTAGGGAGGAGAGTGTCATTATCATGAAAAGTACAGATGTGACAACTGAGAACCAAGCAAAGAAAATAAGGAACTAATATGTCAAAATATATTTTGGTCGTTTTTTTTTGACATTTTTAAAAGTATTATGAAGAAAATGGCTACCCCAGAATATCAGGTTACATCCAATATACTAAGAAGAGTTCTATCATGCATAATAACCTCTTCAGTCCTGATATTGTGCTATGATTTTGTGTCACTTCCAGAAAAAGGTATGTGAGACCCTTAAATCCACCAGCAGTGCATCCTCACCTGGGCCACCAGGATTGCCAGGATGACCGTGGTCTCCTTTTGACCCAGGAACACAAGCCCCTTCCCTTCCTGGTACTCCTATCCGACCAGAGACCCCAGTTGAACCTGGAAATCCTCTGTCTCCTATTGGTCCAGGACTCCCTGTGAGAGACAAGCCAGGGGGACCAGGGTTCCCGGGAAGACCTACAGTGTAGAAATACACAGATGTTCACAAATGTCAACAATAGTAATCAGCAGGGAAGAATGTAGGTTTTTTGGTTGGTCTCTATATTGACAACATTTTTGTAAAGATTTAAGGTATTAGATCATCATTTTATCATTGTTTATTTGGTGTAAACGACAATGATACAAATAGTGATGTGCATGTGTTATATATGGGTATTTGGCATTTAACCTAAGAACATTTTAAGGTTTTTATGAAGGTGTTCATGAGAAACATGTACACAACAGTCATCATATGGGCACTATCATTACATGTGGAGTGTAAAACCCAGACCATAAATCTGAGGTTTTTCTAGACCAGTGTCACGCTAAGTATAAAAATATATGACTGACACAATTTTGTAAAAGTCTTGAAAAGGATGATGTCATTTACCTGAGACTCACCTTGTTGACCTGTGTCGCCACGTCTACCAGGTGTCCCTCCTATAATGTCTACAGAGGAGAGATGGAGGATAGGTGAGTTTTGGCAGTAGCCATGAAAGACATCTTTTTCTACGGGCCATACATAAAATACAGACTATGATGATTGTAGGTGTGTATTATACAGGATGTGCATGAGCTCATAGAGCCTTGCAACACTTTTCATGCAGGATTCCTCTTACTGGTGTCTCCTTTCTGCCCTGGTGGTCCAGGGATCCCATCCCGGCCCTGATTGCCTTTAGCACCTGGATAACTACCGACACCCGGCAGGCCTGCGTCACCTGAGGCAAACAGAAAAGAAAAAAGGAAGGCTGAGGTCAAGCTTCAAAGAAAGTATGAATTAAATAAAACAGTGAACAATACCGATGCAAGCTGCTTGCCTTTTAAACATGATGAGAGTAAAGATTAGACTGTAGGCAGCACAGGGATGTGTTGTTCATTGATTTAGTAAAATGTAAGGGTTCCTTCTTTAATATAATATTTAAAATCAAGTACTTCTAAAGACACTTTACCTGCCGGTCCATTGGGTCCTGTCTGTCCTTTGTTTCCTGGAGGTCCATCGGAACCTTTAGGCCCTTGATAGCCTGATGGACCTGGAAGAGCAGGGTGAGGGTCAGGAGAGGGGTGAGAGGTTAACCGATTATGAGCAAAACATTCAAAAATCCTGAGCTGCCTTATTTTCATGACCAGTAGTAACCATTTTGTCCGTCAGGTCCTGGGTTTCCTTTGGCTCCACTGTATCCTGGTAAACCTAAAGATCCAAAAGAACCAGGTTGCCCTTTCTGACCCTTCATCACATACGTATTGGTTGATCCTGGTTCACCCTGAGGACAAGAAGAGCGACAAAGAGGAGAAGAGAGAGAAATCATTATTATTTTCTTATTTTAAGACATTGTACTCTACAAAGACTTTCTACACCAGTGATTTGTACCTTTTGTCCTACTGGTCCAGGCCATCCATATCCACTGTAATTTGGCTCTCCATTAATGCCTTTGTTACCAGTTGGACCTGGTGCACCATCTAGACCTGACCCTCCAGAGATTCCTTGATCTCCTTTTATTCCCCTTGGGCCTGTGAGGGTTAAAATAAAAAATATATTTTTGGTAAGATACAATGAAAGAGACCTTGATATCTACAGCTGCAGTTGTGTACTGCTAGATTATTAAAAATATACATTTTACACCTATTTTGTGACCCTTTAATGGTAATCTAAATCTGCAAATGTAGAGCTATTTAGTAGTATTACTATACTTTCATTTGTGAGGTTACAGAATTTGTATTAAAGGAATCAGTGTGTATAGCGCTTACCTGGAGGCCCTTTGACTCCCGGGTCTCCTGGAGCTCCAGCAGGTCCTCGACTTCCCCCTGCGAGAACTAATCCATCAACACCTGGATCACCTGCAGGACCTGGACAGAGAAAGGCACACAACACAAATTAAGTCTCAAAACTTGATGATTTGGTGAACCAAAATACTCACAATAGTATAGTTACAAATGTGAAACAAAATTCAAACCTCTTTGTCCAGGACCCCCTGGTGCTCCAGCTGTCCCTCTCCGCCCTTTTAGTCCAATACTTCCAGTATCTCCATTGGCACCAGATAGACCAGGGTAACCTGACAAAGTACAGATAGAGTTATAGGCTATACTAAACAATACAACAGTAAGACTCACAACGACTGCATTTATGACGTCACATGCACTCTTGCAAGAGGTTATGTCCTGAGGTACCAAAATCTGAGTTAAAAAAAGATCTCCAAAAACATTTGAGTTGTAATGGTTTGTGAAACAAATGTAAGTTGTTGTGGAATGATATTTTAATGGGAAACATTTACTAAAGCTTACCCGGATTGCCAGGGTCCCCTGGGGGCCCAAAAGCGTCTATTGTCTGTGGTGATGCAAGGCCTGGAGGACCTCTGGGACCTGGTTCGCCATTCATACCTGGAGGACCCCAGGAACCCCTGGCTCCATCTGGGCCGGGGGCACCTGGAAACAGTCATGGGGGCGTTGACTCCATCATACTTAACTGTACACCTCACATACAATTACAACGAATCACCAGCCATTGTTTCAGTTCTGACGCAAGACTTTTTAACTTTCTTAATCTATCTATCTATGTTAAACGTGTGTAGTTGATACATGGTACAGTGATCTATTTGTATGTGAAGGTGTGTGTGTGTGTGTGTGTGTGTGTGTGTGTTTGCATTTGTGCTTTACCTATTTGGCCTGGTGGTCCTAAAGTTCCAGGCAACCCATCTGAACCATATCCTGGTAACCCATCTGGTCCAGGGTCTCCTCTCAGTCCTGAGGAAATGCAAGTGAAAACAAGCTATAAGTCGACAAATACTTACAATATTCTACAATATAATGGATATAATGTTTGCTGATACATAATATGGTTAAGGCAGGGAATACCAAAAAAGACACATCTGTCATGTATTAAACAATTAATTCAAAAGCCGTTTAGCCTGTCAGAGACACAATGCCGTATACCTGGTTGACCGGGCAGGCCGTTTTGTCCCGTGATCCCTTTTTGTCCAGTGAGCCCACGAGAACCCGGCACTGATGGCCCAAGAACACCAGGTTCACCGGGGACGCCAGGACGACCAAACCCTGGCAAACCTGGGTTCCCCTTCTCACCGGGGGAGCCATCGGGTCCTGGAAGTGGGGAGACAGACAGGCAGAGGACAATATGGCGGTAAGGGGATGTTGAAAAGTCGTTATTCTGTCTAAATTTGTTGGACAGTGTTGAATTATGGGGGAGACATTTCCACATTTTGTCCTTTTTTATCTTTCACCTTCTGCAATCTTTGTCCCTCTGGAGCTGTCAGATAAGTACATCACATGACTTCAATATACACTGACCTGGATGTCCTGGAAACCCATCTGGTCCTTGTGGTCCCCCTGGCCCAGGTAAATCACCTTTACATGAATCTTTGTTACCAGGTAGTCCTGGGGGGCCTACAGAACCTTTACTTCCTGTACGTAGACAACATAGAATCAAGCACTTAATAGATGTCTTTGTATGAATATGTATGATTGAATGCACATGTGTTTGCGTTTGAACCATAAGTACCATAAGTATTTATGTCTCTATTTATGTCTCTTTGCAGGCTGCAGATTTATATATGATTCATGAGTACTGTACCCTTTTCTCCTGGAAAACCTGGACTTCCATGTACTCCTGGGTTCCCAGGTAGGCCAAGGATCCCAGGATCTCCTACGGGCCCCTGAGTTCCGTCTTCTCCTGGAGGCCCAGGGGGTCCTGGGGGGCCACGGTATCCAGGCCCACCGTCACCCTGAGTATTTATTTATTCATATTGACACATTTCGATGTGCTTGCAGTATGCCATTGTTCTAGTGCTGTGCTATTTGTCTATCATGACTTTTCACTTTACTGTCAAACACAGAGAAACTAATATCTGCAGAGAAGTCAGAGGGAGCTGTCTGTGGTACTGAAACAGCTGTCTGTTCCTGTTGAAGAGTCCTTAACAGGGGTGAACTTTTATTATACTCTATACATCATTTATGGCAGCAAAAAGTGCTACAAAGACACAAAATTAATTTTAAAAACCCAAATGAAATACCAAACATCTTGGATGTCCTGCAAATATGTTACTTCATTAAAAAAAGGTGGGTCTTTAGTGAGGATTTTAATCTGACCTACTAAATATAACGTACAACCAATAAAGTCATGACACTTTTTTTAAACAATCTCACTTTTCTGCTTGTTCTCTAAAACCAAACTGATATTCTCTCCATAACAGACGTAACACTGAACACATAACATCTCCATAACACTTACCATGCTCATATCCGTAAAATATAAATTGAGCTACAGCCATGAGCCGGTTAGCTTAGCACAAACACTACCGGTAAAATAATATGCATAATACACATAATACTGGTAGTCAGATTTTGTTGCCTTTGGACAGAGCCAGGCTAGTTGTTTCCCGATTTCAAGTCTCTAAGCTATATGACTACAGACTTTAGCTTCCTATTCACTGTTTAGAGATCTTCTCATCAAGCTCTCTGTCTAATCTCCCACAACAGAAATTACATCATATTCAGACAGATAGCATTACAGGGTACCTTTGATATAATGTATCTTGTGTTTTTCATTTGCATACGTATTACAGTGTAAATCCTGGAATCAAGTGTTAAAACAGTATACCTTTACTTTTACCTTTGACTTTGCTTTCGCATAAATGGCCAATACTGTACTATATATGTTCAATGCAGTCAACGAAATATATGGCATATTTTGTTTGTGTCTCTGACCTTCAGTCCTGCAGGACCAGGAATGCCTTGTGACCCTGGCCGACCAGACAAGCCGGTCCCTGGAAAGCCTGGGAGACCTGGTTGCCCCTTGTCGCCTGACCAACACACACACACACACACACACACACACACACACACACACACACACACACACACACACACACACAAATACATTGTATAGAATAGAAGAACTGAGAATCTTGAATTTGTTATCTGCTTGTCTTTTTTTGGCTTGAGCTCCAAAGCACATGGATTACCTTTCTGTCCAGGGATCCCCGACCTTCCAGGAAATGACACCTCACCACTTTCTCCCCTCTGTCCTCGAAAACCTGGTATTCCTGGGGTACCTGGTACTCCGTGATTACCTGGATGTTTGGTGGTAAGTATGAGACACGCTCTATTGATCTATTGTATGGTAACTTAAAGACCATCCACCCATTCATCCTGACATTTATATATCCATCTGTTAATCAATCAGTCATACAGCTATGCTTACCTGGGCTTCCAGGTGAACCAGGCAGACCTTTAAATCCAGGTGGTCCAGGAAGTCCTATGGTGTGGATGTGGCTAGGTTCGCCTTTCTGGCCTACCAATGAAGGAGTGAGAGAAGAAAGGATTCTATCTTGTGTGTTTATGTATAAGTGTCTGTCAAATTGTATACTGGTCAATGTGTTTCTTTACCAGGAATCCCAGGTTGTCCTGGCAGGCCAGGTACCCCAACATCTCCTGTACTTCCCGGAAGTCCAGCAGGCCCATATCCCACTGGCCCAGGGTAGCCGACTGTTCCTGGTCTGCCTAAAGACCCATGTGGTCCTGGGAAACCACGGTCTCCCTCTGCACCATGGAAAGGATACTAGAGAGAAAACTGAGAACTTATTCCGACAGCCACTAAAAATACATAATCTGTTGGATTGGCTCACGCACACGTCTGAGAATTTAAGAAATTTTAAACATAAACATGTGTCAAATGGCAAAATATATATGGCACATCAAGCTCAAGTCTGTCAAAACCTTCTCACCGAATCCCCTGGAGGTCCTTGATCGCCCTTGCGACCAGGTAGTCCAGGAAACCCAGGGCGGGCATCTGCACCAGGTCTGCCAGGCTGTCCCGGGTCTCCTTCATCTCCATTTATACCAGGAGTGTTGTCCGAATATGAGTCACCCTTTTGTCCTGGTGGGCCTTGAAATCCCATTTGACCAATCGGACCCTTCAGAAAAGAACTATTGTTTACAAGTGTTTGTAAAAAACCGAAGCAAAACAACAACAAACTACAGTGGAAACGGCTTATGATGATCATGGTTACAGTGACCAACGGTTTATACGGATTAAAAAGCTCGGGACAGAATCATTCCTACAAATGCTCTTTAGATAATTTGCTTAAAGTAATCAAGTAGTCCACTTACAGAGTTAATTTAGGGACTTTTCATATTTCTTTTTAAACTTTACTCCCATGACACTTCGCAGTAACCCATCTGCGTCCGATTTACACTGTACTTTTTTTAGGACATGCTTTCTTACTGGTCTTCCAGGTAAGCCACTAGATCCTGGGAAGCCTGGATCACCTTTAGCACCTGGTCCTTGATTATATCCTGAGCGACAGAAAGATATAGAATGTCTGCTCCAGTTTTAAACATTTCATACTCTCCAGTATTTCCAGTAAAACTTAAAAACGCATTTGAATGTAGAAGAAGGACGGATTTGGTAGAATCTGTGTTTTCTTGAAGTGAACGTATTTACCAGGGATGCCAGGTGGGCCTTGTGGACCCGGTGGTCCTGGGAATCCTGATCCGATACACTCATAACAGGGCTCCCCCTTCACTCCTGAACAAAGAATAACCATGGGAACATTTTTAGAATCAGAATCAGAATCAGAACCATTTATTGCCAAGGAAGTTTGCACCTACAAGGAATTTGTCGTGGCGGTTGGTGCGTAACATTTAACAATAAACAATAACATTAAACTATCAGCAATCAACACAGTGCGAGAAATAGAAACATATTAAAATTTACAATAAAATATAAAATATAAAATAAAGTGCACAATTCATATTACACAACATTATGTTTGCGTAACGTTTTCTTTTTCTACTCTCTCTAGTCCATCAAAGGGCTACATGTACTGCTGTACAGCAACAACTGCACATTATAGCCTCCAAGCATAGCTTATTAACAAGACAGAATTAGCAGGGCAGAAGACATGTAACAAATTAAACGGTGACAATTCATTCGGAATGATGCTTAGTTTCCCACCTTTCATTCCAAAAGACCCATCATATCCCATGGGTCCAGGCATACCTCTTGTTCCCTTCATTCCTGGGAGACCTTTGGTAATCCTGTTAGCTACAAGCAAACATCAACAACACTCATCAGTCTACTAGTTATGATGTCCCAGCATTGCTTTTCTTCTCAACATGAAGTGCCAGATAAATGTTGACTCATTTGTTCAACATAAAACCCTGACACTTGTCACATAAAAATGACACATGAAATAACGGTGGATTACTGTAAAAAGAACTGCAGGCATTTTATCTTTACATAAAGGAAAAAAAAGATGTCAAATGATCCCATGTAGACATTATTGTCTACTAACTGCCATCAGTCACAGCGTAGAAGCCTATAGAATAGAAGAGTAAAAAAAATTAAAGCTTCACTAAACAGAAAACATACAGTACTCTCACATATGCAAGAAGTTTGTTGAGTTAATCAAGATATTTGAAATAACTACCGGTATTACTGAAAGTGGGAGAAATACCATAAGTAGTATTATCAGTGGTAGTAGACGTAATAGTAGTTTAGATTAAATTACTTTTTAGAAGGAAAACATTTACACATACTTCTGTCTTCAGGAGGTCCAGGTGGGCCCTGATCCCCGGGAGGCCCTTGATACCCGTCATCCCCATCTGGACCTGGGAGTCCCGAATAACTATCCCCAGGCTCCCCAGGGTCCCCTTTGGGGCCTGGAAAACCATTGGGACCTCTAGGGCCTGGCACATGAATCCCAGATGAATGGCCTGTGTATTGTAAAGTCAGAGACTGTAAGCAACATATTTAGGGAAACCAAAAGTCATAGTTGGTTGTACTGCAACTTTTAAATACAGTACAGAATGATAGGGAGATAGAGAGATAGGATGAGGATAGCTTCTTCGCTACACACCTGGAGGTCCATCAGGTCCAGGGAATCCTTCAACACCTGAGAAAAGCATGGTAACTTGTGTTATTTCTGTATTAGAGTCACTGTACTGATCATTTTAATGGGCTAATTATTACACAGCATTATGTTCATCTACCTTGACGACCAGGGAGCCCAGGTGAGCCTGGGAAACCCAGATCTCCACGGTACCCGTTGAGTGGCTCAGTCACAGGGCCAAATATCTATAAACAAACACCACAGGGGGCACATAGTGAAATCAGAAATCATCAAGATTAGTGGGCTTTAATTGTGATGTAGAACACACTTTTACTGAATATTCATTCCGAAAAAACAGCATTGGAAACAGGCTTAAAAATACCATAAAGTTCAGGAGTACTCAGTAGAAAATCATCAAAAATAAACTCACATCTCCAGGTGGACCATGGGGACCCCTATCTCCCTTTTCACCCTAAATATTGGAGTAAACAATCAAAGGATGATGATACAAAGCACACCAACCCATTAAAAGCTTGTTTCTGGCACTAACAGATCACTGACCGTCCCTCCTGGTGTCCCCGGATATCCTGGATCACCTCTGGAGCCAGGCCATCCCTAAAGAAAAATATATTGTATTCAAAAGCCACACACATAATAACATAATGACTCTGCATACATATATGATTGTAGAACAGTACCCTAGATGATTGTCCAGGATCGCCATCCTTCCCTGCCTTTCCCTGTAAGGACAATTGAGGACAGCAGTGAGGAATAGACAGGTTCTGCTTTCTGTAAAGAAATAGTTTAGGTCCTCAAAAGTGTTGTTTTGGTTGGCATCACATGGCAGTAGTCATGAAAGCAGTAGTCATGGATTGGGGGGCGGCCCCTCTTTCATTACATATGGAGCGATGTGATTAGCAGGGGCCCCTCTCTTAAAAGCAGGGCCTCAGTTCAGGTGCATGCCACGAGCTTTCAAAATAAAGAAATAAAATCATTTCTAAAAATGACAGTTTTGAATCTGTAGCTGAGACGTCCTTGCTGTCTTCATGTTAAATGAAAAAGAGAAAAATGTGGCGATACCATGTTGGCCCCTTTAGGGACGCTCTCAATATATTTGCAGGGCATGGCAAAGCTGTACCCTTCTGTCTTTTGTCCCAATAGTTCAACCCTTCCCCTTGTTTCAGAGCAGCCTTCATTGTAGCTGGGTGGGCCTAGGGTGTAGTGGTGAAACTGTGCACTGTAACTTGGACTGAAGCTATATTTTTAACAAAATAAGTGATGAAATTGTTAAGGCCATTACTTGATATAAAGTTTGCAGATGATACTACCGTCATCGGCCCGGATTACGAACAACGAAATCAATAACCTTGCATGGTGGTGCTCAGACAACAACCTACTGCTAAAGGTCAGTAAAACTAAGAAGCTGATTGTTGATTTTAGAGAAAAGAAGGCAAGGACTCTCAGCCCCTGTCAATGGAGCTGAAGTGGAGCAAGTGAACAGTTTTAAGTTGCTGGGAATCAGCATCACAAACAACCTGACATGGTCATCACACATCTCCATCCTGGTGAAGAAAGCTCATAAACATCTGTATTCCTTAAGGGAACTTAAGAGGGCCAAATTCCCGTGCAAAGTTCTTGTTAACTTTCACGAAGGAAGCATCCTGACTGGAAATATGACAGACTGTTATGGGATGTGCACGGCCCAGAAGAGGAGAGCTCTACAGCGGGTCGGTACATCATTGGCACCCATCTACTGAGCATATTGGTGAACTGAAACACCTAGGAGGTGTCCACGCTTCTCGAGCGATCTCCTGACATTGTGAGAATCCAGCTGCCATGCGAGGTGCAAGGTAACCTGCGAAGAGCCCAAAGGATATTTACAGTCAATACCCACCTCAGCAACAGCCTGTTCACCCTGGTGCCATCTGGCAAGCGTTACAAAAGCATCAGCTGTTGTACCACCAGATTTCAGAGCAGCTTATTTCCTCAGGCTATGAGACTCTTAAATTTACCCTCGAACCTCCACTGATAATATATAGTGTTATAGAGTGTTTTTCTTACGCAGCAAAATGGGTCGTTGCATAACCCTATTGTACAATAACAGTAAAATAACCTTGTATTCTTGATCACACCTGCACACACTAAAATTAACTTTAAATTATTCACGAAGCCATTCACTTGGCGACGTAAATCACAAATAAACACGTATCACTTTACATGCTAACAAGCAAACACCCGGTTGGCTGAGTGCCTCCCAACACGACTGTCTATCCTCCAGGTGTTGCTCATTAATGCATTAAACTGACAGAGGAACAATGAATAAGGGTCTGGTTTCTTTTTTGTTGTTATCCCTTTTCTTGTGTGGCAATGGGGCAAATCCCATTGAGTTTAATGCTGCATTACTGCCCTCTGCTGGTCATCCTTTTCTCAGAGAAAGATATGGTGCAACAGTCGAATAACAAAGCAAATATCTGTTTTTTGGACATCACTACATTTCATACATATGCACAATCAGAAAGGGAGGCCTAAATGTGAGGTGGAATGGAATAAAAAGTATGTGTTGTCTTACTACTGGACCCTCCGGTCCTTGGTCTCCCTTTGCTCCTTTGGTGTAATGGCCATAACCTGGGTCTCCCTGGGAACAGATTGAAAGGAGAACATCCGAGAGATAAATGCACAGCACCAACAAGGCAGAACACACATCTAAAAGGAGATCTAAAACATCAAAGATCCACAAATGGCATTCATTTAGTAGAAACTTACTGATTCACCCTTGCATCCTTTTATTCCTATGTCTCCGTTGTCTCCTTTTGCACTCTGAATAAGACAAAAACCTTGTGTTATGGGTTGCAAAGACGTCAGTTGCCTACCAGTCCGTCCAACATTTTGATCCCGAATAGACCAAGATATTTTAATAACTATAATTAAAACATGACAATGAAACTTACTGAGCACATTGATGCTGCGGCGAGAATGAGTCTTTCCATTTTGGACACACTGGAGCTTTTTCTCTTACACCACGTTATTCACCACATCAGCAGACTCCCTATCAGATCTTTTACTTTTTCTTCCTTTTATTTCTTCCATTTTCATGAAAGAGAAATTAGCCCGTCTGGCCGGTACTGTGAACCTTGACTAAATACGAGTTTAAAAGCCTGCTGTTCTCACAGCTCCTGCAAAATGTGGAAACTGTTCCAGCTTGTGAAGTGTGACACCATTAGGCTTAGTGCACTGGCTATTTCTCAAACGGACTTTATAGGCACATTCAGGACAGTGCAAGGTTGCTGCAATACTATATTGGAAAACCACACCCTGGAATATATAATATATAAATGCTGCTGATTTGACCTCAGTCTTATACTCTACCTTTAACACGAGACTCTCAGTGAAAAACTCCTTGATCCGACCCCGTGGCCCCGGTGGGCCTCGTAGTCCTGGTCTCCCCTATATCAAGCAAATTGAGATCATCCTTAAACATAAATAAGATATGATGCACATGTTATAATGAAAATGTTATCATCGAGTTATTGAAATGGTGAGAGATAAATAAATACAATGCTACATCCTCTCCTCTTTAAGTGAATGAACCCTTGATACCGTAACAGTGTTTCTGAAAAATAAAGTACCTGTGGTCCACGAGGTCCTGGGGTAGCGCCTATGCCTTCTTGACCCTGTAGGATGGGAAAGCAGTTGCAACTTGTTTATATAACTAACCTGTTCTCTCAGTCTTTCTCAGAAACTCACATTTTTCTCTCAGTTTGGTTTTGGTCAGGCTCCCACGTTCACCGTCTTTGTTGATACCAAATCGTACAGATGGGTTTAGACTGCCCTTCCTCTAATACACTACGTCCTATCACCACCGTTTTCACCGTGTGAAACGAGTCGTATCACATGTAGATGTTCACACTACATTCCAAAATACTGCAGTGCCAAGGAACAAGCACTGTGGCCAAACAGCAGTAATCACTAAAACAACAGCTAGGAAATGTTTTCCACTTTCCCGGGTAGTGTGAACACCGCTTACTATGATAATTGAAGACAAAACAAAGAAGCCCAGCTGTGGTTTCCCACTGCGACACCCAGTAAATACTTAGACTCATTATCACAAGTATAAGCTGTCAAACACGTATACATACATATCTAAAGTATTCATCCATATATATTTTTAAAGCATTACCTTTGATCCTGGATACCCAGAACGACCAGGAAACCCCTGTTCATAAAGAATGCCGTTATGCCAAACATCACACAATAAATATTCCAGAGTGCCATATGTACTCTGTGCAAGGCAACCCAAAAAACGTTACTCACGACAGAGCCCTGTGGTCCAGGGTCCCCTGGTCGTCCATCCTCTCCAAGGAAACCTGGATGTCCCTAAAATACACATACATATAGAAAGAAAATGAAATCTAGTACTACTTTTTATACCTACTTTTTGGAAAATGTCTTTAACTGTGATGGAAAATATTATAGAAACAGAACGCCATTAATATTAATGTAATTTCAAATAGTTACCGGCTGTCCGTCCCTCCCTGGTGGCCCAGGTGGGCCTGGTATTGCATTCACTGATACCCGCGATTCACCCTGTGAAATAAAGGAAGTCAGTTTATTTAATATTTTGTTGTAAAAAAACCTGAATTTAGTGTTACAATACTTGATGATTACAGGTATGTAGTAGTACTGCATGGAATATGTAATAATTCTTCATAGTTGTAGTTGACAGTTGGGCTCTGCAGGATTGATCTTTATGTATCTGGGCACTTGACATGAATGCATGGGTTCAGAATTAGAATGAGGGGCTGCCTCTATTGGAGATGACTCTGTCTCATCATGCATACTGTCATTGAGGTGTCTGTGAACACTTTATATACAACAGTAGTTACGGTATAGTACTGTTTGTGATGCCATAGGTGAAATTAAAGCACTTTTGATCCAGTTCATAGTGCAAAATCAAATTTAACATGTACACGGTAAAATTACAGATTATTTATGGATCATAATGCTCTCAAGAAAACGTACTTTCTGATGTAGTACGTCTATAATGTACACGCTCGAAACACTAAATGAAAAGTATTTGTCCTGGAAATTAGATTTGAGAATGAACACATTTCTTGCTGTAAATGAAAGTGGAAAGTGACTTGATAGAAGGAACAAAAGAAAGAAAAATCTTTATTGGTCTCACATGGACTACGGACAAAATGAGCTCTGGGAGCTTGGGGAGGCAGAGAGGGCACCTGCTAGTGCAGCATCATGTTTTTCTTGGTGCATCAGGATCCTGCTAATGAACTCCTTGAAAGGCAATAATTGCTGAATGATTCTGCAGTTCCGCTCTTCCCAAATACACAAAGTACTAAACAGCTGACCGTGGGTGGCGCAGCATACATTTTATTACCTTAGGTCCAGGCAGGCCAGCTGGACCCTGTAAAGTAAAGATAAAGCTGAGGGAACAAACAGTTCTCATATTCCTTGATGGTTCATTTTAAGTACATCAGTAAGCAAAACACTAAAGTTCTTAAGAGGAGTAACAAATCACAACACTGTATCTGATCACAAAATAATTAAACAAAACATAAAGAACTTACTGCACTTCCATCGATGCCATGGATGCCGGGAACACCAGGAGGTCCCTCTTCTCCCTAAAAGTATAATGTGTTCAAAGTATGCAAAAACTGGTTCATGTTTGTGTAAGAAGAAAGTGTAATTGAAAAGCCCTCTGCTCAAAGCTCCGCAATGCGAGCATCTAACAAATGAGCTAAAACTATCAGATGAAAGAAATACTAACATATGAAATATTTTCTCACATCAGTTCCATTGCAGCCGTGGACCCCTGCGGCTCCTGGAGGCCCTTGAAGACCTGGGATACCCTGTAAGAGCATAATCAGCGGAAGTTAAAAAAAAGTAACAAGCATCTGTAAACATATGCGGGAACGTGCACTTACACAATACAGAAATCAGATGACGAACAGAGTGAAACTGGAAAATGGATGAGAGAGTAAGATACCTCACCGGTAAACCATGAGACCCAGCAAACCCTTCTTTGCCCTCAGGTCCCTGTAATGACAGTAACAAAACCAGTAAACATTGTAAAAGGCACTCAGATACAGAGTGGATACCTATGCTTGCACTTTGTCTGTACACATACCAGGGTTCCCACACATTTTTATGGACATAATTTCAAAAATTTCTCATAACTTTTCCAGGTTTTCAATGAAGGCAGGAACCCTGATATACATATTAGACAGACGCCATGGTAAACATAAATTTAGTTATGTTTACACACTGAGACCAGATCATATACGTATACACCCAAAAAGACACAAGCTTGGATAACACAGTTATGTTACCGGATCGCCTTTTGGCCCCTCCAGTCCATCAGGCCCAGTGTTGCCCTGTCAAAGACAGAAACCTATAATTAATCTTTGTGATGTGGTAAGATGCAGTACAAGCAAAACTAAAAGTGATGTCTAGGTACACAAGGAGAAAGTGTAATTCAACACAGTCGATATGCAATTTGAGTCAAGGTTGCCCTCTGACAAAAGCGTTGGATTGGAAGATTGGAAGATTGAATATTATACAGAAGGAGCTACAAGAGCCCGGCTGGAATTCTACCTTTGGTCCAATAGGCCCAGGATGACCATCTGATCCACGACGGCCCTCTATCCCTGAGGGACCTGGAACTCCGGGAAAACCTTTGTCTCCCTGTGAGTATATGTGAAAGAAAGAGAGACAGAGAGAGAGAGAGAGAGAGAGAGAGAGAGAGAGAGAGAGAGAGAGAGAGAGAGAGAAAATCATAAGTTTCTGTATATTTTAGCTAATCATGGTTGAAAATATAAGCTTTTTTACTCATAAGTTTCCAAATATTGCTACTGGAAACAAACATATAACAGCTAACACTAATGATATAGTTGAAATTGTTGTTCCTGTATTGAAAGACCTGTTAAAAACTTTGTGGGTGATGCTTTTGACAGTGATTTTCAACAAAGTGATAATGAAAACAATCACCATTGAAGGTCAACAAACAAATTTTGTAAATATTACAAATACGTAGTCTTGAGTTGTTTAGCTGGACACATGAAAATAGACACATTATATGTGTATTTTCAAAATATACAGATTTTACAGTCAAATGATTTTTTGCAGTCCATTACTGAGGTAGAGCTGCATTAGACTAAAGAGGTTTCATGTGTTCTGCTCTCTGCTTTCAGCTAACTGCAGGTTGATTAAAAACGAAACAGCTGGTCTCTCTTGAAAAGGCTAAAATACTTATAAAGATTGTTGACACACTAAAAAAAAAAGCTTTTAACGCTTTTTTTCAACTACGATCTATCAAGATCTGACTATAGTGTAGCACCGGGCAGCTGCACCTGAGGCGTTTTGATTGTGACAAATTGCTGTACAGTGTGGTGTTTTTAGGTTTGACAGTCGCACTGTGCGTAAATCTGTGAGATCTGCTTTACAGATGATGAATGAATCATAGTATCTAAGTGGTAGTAGTAACAAATACAATAGGCCCTTTTCACAAAAGACATTTTGCTGTGTCAGTAGGAAATGCAAAGTAAAAAGATTCGATAATATATTCAAATCAAATATTAATAGTAAACCCCAGTGTTGATGAATTTTACGACAATAGATGATCCACTCACCCTGCTGCCTTTCACTCCTGCACAGCGGCACCTTGATTTCCCATTGCACACACACTAAAAAAAGAAGACATTGTTACAGTGTTCAATATGTATCGTGTAGGTGTCCAATTAATTCGAATTTGCATCCATTTAGGAAGCAGTGGTTCCCAAATGTTTACGGTCATGCTCCTTTTTTGGAAGAAAACCATGCTTCCCCATACCACTGTAAACCAATTTAATTTATATCAACCGTAAACCATATTGTGGAAACTGGTAACAAAAGGAGTCAAGTTGAATGGCTCTATATCCCACAGGAGGGTGCACCCCACAGGTGTGTTGCACAATCAACTGCAACTTTTACAAACACTGTGCCGATCGAGAACGTGTTATTTGTTATTTTGCGCAGTGAAGAGAGTTTACTTTGGGAGGATTTGTGGAGGATTCATGGAAGCAATTTTTCAGAGCACTCATAATTCACGACTGATAAAGGCTTACACCTCCTTACAGTGGAATTTAAAGGCTGTAAATATTTCTGCTTATCAGCAGAGGAAAAGGCTCAGAGAAGCTAATGGACTAAAAATGTGGAGCTACAGTAATAGTCAAATGAATGTCTCTGCTAACTTCTCTGGCGCTGTGAGGCCTGTTTTGCTTATTTCCCCACTACCATATCCTGTCCCCTTTTTCCATGACCTTCCATAAAAAGGCCCACCAACATAGCAAAGTGGAGTGAATACTGTACACAATGGAAGTAAATGCACAAACAGACTGCAACAAAAAAAACCTGCATCTCTTCTGGATAAGAGATGTTTGAAGTTAAAAGCACAGACATTACAGTTACAAACAGATCACAGCCTTGTATATGTGAGTTGAGGCTGTGTAGAACGAATGGCGCTCACATTGTACACAACAGGAAACACACAGGGAACATACTGTTACAGAATGATGCTGTTCTCCTATCAACAGTGATTCGGTGGATTTTTGTGTGGGACCTCGGAGAGCTTCAGAAAGAGAAAGGTAATGTTATACTAAACAGCATTAATCTAAAAAAAAAAAACGTGTGTGATGCATTGCAATGGATAAGTTGAAACAGTTATGATAAAAGCTGAGTGGTAAACACACTGCTAGGTTTTTCTTGAACAAAGCTCACCGATAAAAGTTTGCAGATAAACCACTGTAGCTCAGCAGCTAATCAAATCTCTGCAGTCTAATATGGACATTGATTACAGGAATGTGTCTCCAGTGTGTACAGTGTGAAATAAAAGCACTACTGGAAAAAAGATAGTATACAATTCAGTGTTTGCATTGCAATATCCAGATAGGAGTCTGAGATGTTCGTAAAATCAAATCAGATAGACTTTATTGTCCCGGAGGAAATTTGTCTTGGAAACACACATACAGTGTACAGTGTCTGCTGTTAAAAAACAATACAAATAACATATTGCATACATACACAGACTGTCGCCAATCCAAATCAGATCTCCTGACAATTTTGTGTCAGTAAGAAAAAGAAAATCTCTTACATTTTTGGCCCCTGTGCCCATCAGCATCACAGCAAGCAGGATGAGAGGAACTCCCAACATTAACATCCCCATGGCTCTGTTCTTGCTCCAGTTACCGCAGACACCGTGGCAGTGTTGAAATGTCTTTTTTTCAGCGTGTTCCTCAGCAACCACCCTTCACATTACACGTATCCCCTGCTGTAATGTCTGTGGGTGATGTTAGGTCACGGCTTCAGTTAAATTGAAGCTCTCCGTCTGGGTTGAAGTGCCTTGATGGACAGTACAGCCCTGAAGAACTTGTTTAGCTTGGTCCTGAGGAGGGGGGGTGGTCTAACCTCACTGATGCTGTCAACCCCATCATCCTTCTGCTCGTCTCATCTCCAGAACTTACAAACACTGGCAGTTGCTCTGTTTGGTTTTCCCTGATGCGGAGGCAGCAGATTAGCCTGAATCTTGTCGGAGCTTATCCTGCCTATGATGCACTGAAGCGTTCATGAAGATTAATTTGAGCTTCTGAATTTGGGTGAGTAGTGAATGTTGCTTTATGTGCACGATGGACTGCTACCTATAGACTACATGAGGTGTTAACTTTAATGCAGGATATAACCTGGGTGGGAGGACCTACTACTTTCTTTATCAGTAGAATATTTAGATTTTAGAATAATTGCATGGACTACATTTTACCTCAAAGAGAGTTAGACTTAACCATCACATAATATCAACTCTCCCAACACTCACAGGTGTCTTTGGTGTTTCATGCTTCTTTTTATCCACCACAGGGGGCAGCACTGAGGCCAATATTTACCTGTTTAGCAGACCAATGAGATGAGAGATGGGATCCTCTGCTACTGTTGTAACTCTGTGCCCGCTCAGGTGAGTCTCACCGTAGCAATATTAATACGAATTATTAGCAATAAGAGCAATGTCACATGCATATTATCTTTTTGTTGTCCGTAACAACACCCACATCTATACAAATGTAGAAGACCTGGTGTCGAAAGACACACTGCTAATATCACAACGAATACATTTTTGTCAAAATCTCAGTCTTTAATACCTCAGTCTTTAAATAATCTCAGTCTTTAATACCTTCTCAGTCTTTAATACCTTCATCTGCAGTGAATATATATATATATATATATATATATATATATATATATATATATATATTTATATATATATATATATGTCATGAACCCTCGTAGTGTAAACACAAGGAGATATGTCTCATGAAGTTTGATGGCATTCACATCCCCTACTTTGTAAATCTTTTCACCTGAAGACAAACACTCTTATTGCTTGTTTACTCAGATATTCAACACATCTGAATACTTGCATTCCAGTTTATAGACGCTGTGTAGAAACTGACCTCCACTGCACACTCACGCACAAACACACTCACACACACACACACACACACACACATACATACACACGCTCACACACAGGCACACACTTGCACTCTGTCACCTGCATGAGTTTGCATAGAAAACATTATTTTCACTTTCTGTCTCTACGGGTGGAGTTTTAGTCCTCCTGCACACAAGAGCAGCACATTACAAGCTAATGTGCAACAATTCATCAAGTGGACTTTTTTCTTGTTCAGCCAGCATTTCCGCTTTCACCGCGCACAAATCCTGTCTCGTTTTTGTCACACTGTTTATGAAGCAGTTATTCGGATTCATTAGCTGCGGCTAAATGAGACCACAGCTAATCTATTACCACTGTTACATTCACAGGTGGATCCTTGTCCTGGTCGTCTTTGTGCAGCAGCTCAATGCAGTAAGACTTTCCTTTATAAGTCTTCATTACAACACACACGTTTAGATTTATACATAATATCACTAATATGACAACCTTCAAATCTATCATGCTGAGAACAACCATTATGCACTATGTGCATTCCTCTCAAACTCAGACATCCGACACATTGTAAGACACAGCAGACATTTACTGTAATTCAAAATGCAACAACATATGCACTTGAACAAGAACAAGACCAATGAAGAGGAGCACCTTTTTCCCTCGAAGAGATTTCAAGACTATGTTTAAATTATCAAGTGAACGAGCACCTCAATAGATAAAACATGCTTTGAAAGTACACTGGCTAAAACACATATGCACGTGCTAAGCTGTGAAATAGCCCTGACATAAACATAATTCAAAAAAAGATTATTTTTTGTTGAGATGACTTTGTGAGGAAGTTGTACTGGACTGAAGCGCATTGAAATACATCATGTAAAGTTTAATTACAACTTCATTTTTGTAAACACTGCTGCTGCTACTGTGGTAGCCTGGAATGTAGTTTAGGCCTATCAAAAATAACAAACCACCAACGCAATGCAAATATTTTCCTGAACCCGATGATAGGAAACAAAAGTGTATATATTTTTCCTCCCAAACCCAATGCGAATGAAGTGCTGGTTAATGGTTTTCCAGAAAGAAAATCCTTGATGTACTTGATGCACCTGGAAACTGTACGTGTTGCTTCCTATTTGTCTATAGTATTTGTCCCCAAGTAACTTCCATTTCCCTGCATTGTGCAGGACTGCTTGGGGTTCTTTTTGTAAACAAAGACTGTACACTACAGCTAGACTGATGAACTGGCACAGCAGATATATTGGCCAAGTTAGCTTATTGCATATACCTGTATTGGTGTATATGTCAGCTCGTAAGTAACAAAAAAACCACAGTATAGAAATCTCCAAAATTATGTATGTTTAAGATAATCTAGAGACAATGTAATTATTTCATAGTTTGTCCACGAGAGAGCAAGGACACATTTTTCGAATGAAAAATGTCCCATTCAGTGTACATCAGGGTAAAATTCTTTAAAACAAACACACAAATTTAAGGGAATAATAATCCGAAATGTTTATTTTATGTTAGGCTCAACAATTAATATACTATTAATATTGATATTGGCATTGGATTTTACAAATATTATCTAGATGCAGATACATGCATTAGCTGGAAACACATGTCCCCAGATAGCAAGGAGAAAATTGTGTTGGAGCACCATTGATTTTACTACAAATGCATTTACAACCAGTGGTGATGGGTCATGTGGGAAAAGTGATGCAAAGGCACACCTGCTGGCAACAGGTGTGCCTTTATCATACTGAGTCATACTGAGTAATATAATCATGCATTAATGCACAACATCGGTTGACTCTGTCTGCAATATTCTACAGTTTAAGGTCAGTGTCTATATAATAGTTTTAAAATTGAGTTTTAAATGGATTGGCTGAGACGCCGCTATCAAGTGCTCCAAGCGTTGGAAAACATCAATACGCATGCCCACATACTTTGGCAATGGTGGAAACATACAGTAACATTAGATAGCTACAAACGGCGAATTCAGCAGCATAACGACAAACTGAGGAGACTGCATGTAACGTTAACGTTATGTGCCCCGGTCAGATTATCACCTGTTGAAAACTGTGGGAAATGTGAAATAGCCGTGACTGTTATTTAAAATGGTTTAATTTTCAGGTTTCACATCTGTCCAAAGTAACGTTAGTTGCTCCACCATTTTTATTTCACCCAAAATGCCACTCCTAACTCTGTGCCACATAACATTTGCTAATAGACATTTAAATTGCTTATGGTGGTGTAAGTTTATGTTTTAACATTATGTCACTACACATACCTGTTTAGAAAATAATGTTTCACTTTTAAACATTAAACATTCAATTATGTGCTTAATTTTTTTAACTTCACATTCTCAGAAAAGAGCTCTGTCTCTTACTGTTGTGTCACGTGTTTCAATATGCCAATGATAACAAGGTGACATTTGCATGCACTTGGTATTTAATTTATTTGACACATTTTTCGACATATAAGCTAGTTGGAAGCTGGTCTGGACGTAGCTTAAAGCTAATTGTTGTTTAGCTGCTATGTCTTGTGGCAGTGGAGACATCCCAGTGTTTTTTACTTCTCACTGTGTGTTCCAAATTTGACTAATGCTCTGAATCTCAATGGCCTGTCCAAGACTCAGTCAATGGTTGTATGTTATTTGGGACTGATGCAGGAGATATCCATGAATGTTTGGACTAAAAGAGAAAGTCGGACAGCAGATGTGTGACTGAATTAAATTGCACCAGCATAAACTTATTCAAATATTTAGTAAGCTTTGAGAAAACGTTACTAAATGTTTGTGAGACAGACACTGTAAAACTCCCCACACACAGCAGTGGGAATACTTGGCATCTGGAGGTGTGGACTAGTTTTTCAGCAAGATGTTCATTATGAGAGCCGTGAAGCGCTGTGTGAGATTTCTTTCTCATCAAGGTCATAGTGCTCATTATTTACCCAAATCAACGTGAGAACATTGATTTGTTTAAAGCTTTCTTATCAGGACCAGGTCCAGTCTCCGCAGGGAAATGTGTTCATTCTCAAGGCTTATTCTCAACGGTGTAAAATATTTTGGAATGTGAGAAATGCCCATAACACAACCTTATCTGATGTCTGCTCTGACCCCTTACTGTCTTCTGCTCTGCTTAGAAACACATGCAGCCTCAGACAGTCTCAGTCTCTTTCTCTTAAATGTAGTAATAATCGGTCTGTTTGTTGTTTCAGGGGGACATTGAAGGCCCATGTCAAGGCAGAAACTGCTCTGTATGTCAGTGTCTTCCTGCCAAAGGTGCACGGGTATGAATTCACTTTTTCTTCTCATGCATTGGCACATTATCCTTAATTACTCTCACAGTAAGGTTCATATTTTGAATTGTAGTTTATTTTCCTCATTAAAAAGATGTTAAACTACTAGAAATAGTCACTTTAAATTTCTCCAAAATTACCTTGAATGTTCAATGTCTCAATTATAAATTAGTTGACCAGCAGAAAAAAAAATATATAGTAATTTAGTAACCAGAAATGATTAGTTTCCATGATTTGACAAATATTGTTCCACAGAATTAAATCAAAGTTGTAAATGACAACCCTAAATCAGTGGTTGCAGATAGAGATGCAAATACAATCCACAGATAACTCATTGATCCTTAAGTGGGAGAAAAAAAAATCGTAATCCTAAAAATGACACTCACAACAACAGAAGTTTATATACATGACTTTTCTCTTTGTAGGGAGCTCCAGGGAAGCCAGGCCAACAAGGCACCCGGGGACCAATGGGACCATGGGCACGTGAGGGGTCACCTGGAGAGAAGGGCAGAAGGGGAGCAGAGGGATCACATGGCCCAGAGGGGCCCAAAGGAGACCGCGTTAGTGTGCATGTTCATGTTGTGTGTGTGTGTGTGTGTGTGTGTGTGTGTGTGTGTATAATAAGTCTACATTATTAGACATATACAAAATGTGTGTACATGTAAATATGTCAGTGATAAAAAAGAAAGGTGGGGTTGGGAGTGAATAAGGCAATATAGCCCTGTAATATATGATTGGTGCCCATATTCTTTTTTTTTTTTACATTTTAGGGCAAGACTGGTGTTCCTGGTTTTTCTGGTAATGATGGCTCACCAGTAAGTAAACCAATGTTGTTGAAAATGTCATCTACGAATCAGAAAAAGAAACATGCAGCTCAAAAATGATCCCGTAGATGTGTGCAAACCTCTGGAGGGTTGCACCACCTTCCCAAAACCTGCACAGCTCAAATGCACCACTGTAATAATGGTGCAGTGATTTGAAAGCGTGTGTCTGGTGTGCCCTCTAGTGGCCACATCATGGCTCACTGTAGATTAGCCTGGTTTTACTTTGTGCCTAATGCAGCTGCCTCTTCACTACTCAAGTGTTTGTGTTTAATAAAAACTGAAGCTGTTCACCGTAACCAGTATATAATTATGAAATATTAAAGATAAACTATAGGCCTGAAGCCATGAATGCTGTCAGGCATGCTTTCTTTATCATTCTCAACTAGCAGAGAGCTCGTAATTGTAGCCTTTAATGCATTGCAATTATACGTCGCCACAATAACTGTACTAAATTCTTCAGGGCCACCCTGGAGCAGGCGGTGAGCCTGGTTTCCCAGGGTTGGATGGCTGTAATGGGACAAGGGGTCAACCAGGAGTCTTTGGTATTCCTGGTTTGGATGGTCTCCATGGGCCGCCGGTGAGTAGAGCACCTGCTCTGATGTTTCTGTTCGCGGTTATTCAGTCAGTAGTGACACCTGCAAATGTCCCTCTCTAGCCTTTCGACAAAACTTATGTAGCAATGTAAAGCACATGAGATTTATTCTTTTTTGATAGTTCTGCAGTACAAGATTCACGTCCAATGCCAGCATTCAGATTTAGTGGCAAATCAGTAAAGTAGTGTGACATTCAAATAGTACAAAGATAATTAAGTTTGTGGAGGTCTGGGTTGGACATGTAGACTTGAGGCATGACTTTTTGGCCGGTCTCCAAACAGCAGTTAGCTTTTTAAAATGTGTAAATAAAATCGTGGCGATTTTCCCTCAATAGCTCTAGTTGCATAATTCATCAGATGCAACAAGCTGATATCGTAGGACTAACCAACTGACTAATAAACATCAGTACTAGTTGTTCAACATTCTTACTGAACATTATTCAAAGTTATTGATAATGTGTCTAAACATGTAATGTGTCTTCTCATCAGGGATCACACGGACCTAAAGGAATTAAAGGAGAACCTTTGTATGGCGCTACCCTTCCGGGGCTTCCGGTAAGTTCCTCCGGTCTGGAGAGACTCAGATACAGATGGACTGGGCTTCACCAATGTCAAACCCCTTTTCTGTTTGAGCAGTTTCATGCTTATTTGCAATTTACAGTGTTCTCAACTTTGATTCATGTCATCTTACAGGGGGATGGTGGTAGAGATGGAGAGCGTGGTCTGCCTGTACGTTTTATTTTCTTATTCTGACAGTAAAGCAGTATTCCTCAGTAATATTAAGCTAAAAGATGAAGTAAGGATTACATATTTTAAATCATACGCCATGCTTTTAGTTAAGTCGACTCAATTTCATGTTTATTTTCTTTAAGATTGTGTTTCTTTTTTCTTTTTTTTTAACTCAGGGAAGACAAGGAGTCATTGGGACAGAAGGCCACTCTGGCCCTCCTGGCCCTCTTGGAATTCAGGTGAAAAGTCTTAATTTTTGTGTGTACAGGTATTTGTTTTGTATAGGTTTTAATTAAGACTATTATATAACTGTACTTGCACAGTTTGCAGCAATATAGTGTACCACTATTATTCATGATCTACATTACAAGAAGAAATGCTGCATTTGTATATGTTGAACATGGATGTATGTTTCCATTTAGGGCTTGGAAGGATCTAAAGGTGTGAGAGGACCACCAGTGAGTCAGCTGTTTCACAATCTTTGCCAGTGCTGAAAGAAAATCCTTTCGTGCATGCACACACACACACACACACACACACACACACACACACACACACACACATCCACTCAAAAATAAAGCCTTACTAATCTTTTGGTTGTTGTGCAGGGCGACCCCGGAGGATCACTGGCAGGAGCTAAAGGTGACGATGTAAGAATCCACTTTGGCCTTTGACAGCCATGCACTGAGGTTTTTGCGCTGTGTGTATGTGTCTGTGTGAAAGTTTATGAGCATGCTTACAACCGATCTAGTAAACATCTTCACCTATTTAATTCCATATTGCAGGGTGAGCAAGGCCCACCTGGCCTACAAGGACCAGAAGAAGTCATAGAATTTCCTCCAGGCTTCCTTCCACCCAAAGGCTACAAGGTGAAGGCAAAGCTCTCATGTAGACTGCTTATTTTTAACTACTGCATTGAACTGTATAAAGTAAAATATATGTCTTATTTTTCTTGATTGTCTTTCTTGCTTCTCAGGGAGACCGAGGTCTTGCTGGACCATGTGGACCAAAGGGCATAAGCGTGAGTTTAATCCTGTATGTAAGGATACGGGTGCGTCTGAGAGAAAGAGAAAGGTATTTTATTTGCATTTTCTTCCTCATCAGGGTGGTAGAGGAGACACATATATCCAACAAATAAAAGGAGAGCAAGGAATCCTTGGTTTCCCTGGAGTTAGGGTAGGTAGATTAACTCAGACTGGAACATGCTTTTAGACAGACATACGGTATTGACTCCATTGTTTCCATCTCTAGGGTCTTCCAGGATTTCCTGGTAGAGATGGACCTCTAGGCCCTGAGGTACACCTGTGACATTAAGCCTTAGCCTCCCCACATGTTACTATGCATCAGCAATTTTTTAATGCTCAATCTATTGATATATTTTCAGGGTTTGCCTGGAGAAAAAGGATATCCAGGTCTCATTGGAAGAAATGGACCAAAGGTGAGCTTTACATAAACATCAAATAATGTGCATCACAGTTTGAACAAAGCTTGTATCAGTTGCAAACAGAAGCCACTTGTCTGTAAAAGATGACCATTGTTAGTGCAAAGCGCTGCTGGGAGGGAAAATAAAAGGTCTTAGTTATTGATGACTTGGATCCATACTCTCATGTAGGACAGATGGCTGCTGGCATCTTTGTGATATGTTATCTGCTGCCCTCTGGTGGTTGCTCAATGGGATAATTACAGTTACTGGCTGAGACCTGCCATTTCTGATCGCTCTTCTCATCTTTGGAAATATTATAAACATCACTGTCATTTTCTATTCATGACCAAAGTTTCTGTCACTGTGTTTGCATCCACCAGGGTTACCCAGGAGATGCAGGTCTCCCCGGACCCCTGAACTTTCACAATGGAAGTGATGCCAGAGGTGAGACCACAGCAGTAGCTGCATAGCTTTATTCGAAATATGATTATATGATTTAATAATAAACATTTATTATGATTTCTTGATCTAAAGGTCAACAGTTTACAATCTTAGTCTTACAGTTTTGGCCAATGTTACTAAAGAACATTGGCCAAACAATGTTGTCATCACTGTAGAGATTTTAGACATGCGCTCCACTGGAAATAGCCTTACAGTCCAGTGGGGGTGTTTAAAGGGGACATATCATTCAAAACGTCAGTGCTTCTGCACACACATCTTGAGTGCCAACCAACCCACAAATTGTGAAATAAGACTTTCTTTTTGTGGGCTGCCTATCTGAAATCTTTATTCAACAAGTATCTCAACCCCACGGCTTGAGAACTGCCTTTGCAATGGCGCACAATATTTATCTTGCAAGCTAATCAGAGCAAACTGGGGTTTTCCGTGAGTGGGGCTGAAAGAAACTGGTGCTGAAAGGGATCGTTTGCAGACAGAGGGTGAATAATACAGCTATATTCAGACAGACAGTATGACAAAATAATATGTTTTTCTGAACATTATCACATATGCCTATCACAGAAACCTAACATACAAATATGGACCTGAAAATGAGCATATGTCCCCTTTAAAGTATACTCCATTCAGAAACTAAGTTTTGAGAATCAAACACTTACCCACTGGAGCGTTGAAATGTTTAAAGCTGTAGTCAACTTGAACTATGTTAGTCACAAAAAGTATCAACTATAGAACCTTCTCGAACCACTCCTGCAGCATAATCCACTTCTCCACTGTTTAAACTCTCCTGTTATATTAGTAAATAACTATAATTACTGTGTTAAAATAATCAAGCATTACTGACTTTTTCATGCTCCTATGTCTGTGTGGGTCAGGTGTTAAAGGTGACCGAGGGTATCCTGGAATGCCTGGACCCCATGGTGACCCTGGGTTCATGGGCATGCATGGACCTCCTGGCCCCCCAGGGTTAACAATACCAGGTCAGAGTTTGCCATCTTCAACTTTCAGGTTACGCCCGTCTTTATGAATTACATATCTCTGAGTACATCGCTCACTCTGTTCAGGATTTGACCTACAGCTAGAAACCCAGTCAGTCTTGATCCTACCTTGCTTGAATTTTCATTTCGTCTCTCACACCTTCCTAGAAGAGCCGGGTCTGCCTGGTCCACGAGGTTTCCTCGGTCCGAAGGGCTACAAGGGAGAGCCAGGGAGGTATAACAACTTTGAAAATCTGATTCCGGGACTAAAGGGAACCAAAGGACTCCTTGGATATAAAGGTGTCACAGGCCCCCAGGGTCCTCCAGGTATATTATTACTTCCTTCATATTAGACGCAAAGGAGTTTCCTCTATGTGTCAGTTAATTTCACAAATGTAATTTCATTATTCGAATGATTGTAAACTTGTCATGTTTTTGTGCATGTTCATTTGAATGTTTACTTACCTTCTGGCTTGTGTGTGTGTGTGTGTGTGTGTGTGTGTGTGTGTGTGTGTGTGTGTGT